TACTGGCCGGGTCTTGCTTGCTTGCTTGCTCCCTTCCTCCCTTCCACAGTTTTAGTAAAATTTTGTTTTTTCCTTATGATAAATTTTTAGAAGTGAAACTACTGGCCAGAAACTGCTGGGCCAGTATATCTCATACACTGTTGATAGACCTGCATCAACAGTATGTGAGAATGACCATTAGCCAGTGTTAGGCAGTGTTAAATTCTTTAAAATGTAATAAATAGCCTTGGCCAGTGTGGCTCAGTTGGTTGGAATGCTGTCTGTGGACTGAAGGGTCACAGGTCAATTCTCAGTCAAGGCACATGCCTGGGTTGCAGGTTTAGTCCCTAGTCAGGGCAAGTATGAGATCAATGTTTCTCTTTCACATCAATGTTTCTCTTCCTCCCTTCCCCCCTCTCTAAAATCAATAAGCATGTCTTTGAGTAAGGATTTAAAAAATCTAATATATAAATGGTATTTAACTGCTGCTTTAACATGCAATTCTTAGATAACATGTGAGGCAGAGCTTTTTATATTTTTAGCTTTTATATTTTTTCTTTTATAAATTACCCTTCCATGCCATTTGTCTACTTTTCTACCATACTCTCTTTTTCTTATTGATTTGTAAGAGTTTATTATGCCATGATGGATTAACTGAGCAGGTCCAAATTCTGCACATTTCAAGGAAAGGTTTGACCCTGGCCTCGCTCCTGGCAGATAACCCATTAAGCTCTTGGAACATCCTGCCTGTAAGAGTGTTTCTGTTTACTTGAGGTTTTAGGACAGGACAGAAAGTTTATGCTAATAATGGGATTTATGGTGGAAACCTTGGGCCATGTGGTATCAGCTTGCCCTCTGAAGGAGCTAACATGGGTGGTCAGCCATGCTCACATGACCAACTTCCAGTAAATATTCTGGATGCCATTATTTGGATGAGCTTCCCTGATAGGCAATACTGCATATACACTGTCACATCATTGCTCGGAGAATTAACCCTGTGGAGGTCGTGGCTGATCTGAGAGATACAGACTCTTTTCTTAAGTATTGTTGCATATATTGGGTGCATAGGTTCAAGGTCATGACTAGCTGAACATTTGTACATACACATTTGTACATGTACATTTGTACATACTAACACAAATTGAAGGAAATTCTAATGACAACAGAAATATGGCTTCCTCAACAAGCAGGAAAAGAAAAAGATGTGTTAGGTGTTTTGCATCCAAAACAAATCACTTATCAAAATATTTTTGCAAGTGTTGTAAAGAGTATATTTATGCCTTGAAGCACAGCAATATTGTCTGTGATGACTGTTACAAACATTTTGCAAGACCAATTATTGAAGATTCTGATTAATTAATGTTAAAGACTTTTTTTGGTTGTATTTTTCAGCATATCCATGTCTTCATTTTTTGAAAAGAAAATTTTTTCTTTATGCTTTTATATTTCTTTAACAATTTCTAGATTGTAGGTGAAAATAAGTTAAAAATCGTGTATTTTATTATGTAAATAAATGTAAATTTGCAGTGTTTTTTATTTTATTTTTCACATTTAAGTACATACTAACAATGACTATATTTCTCAGATACATGTGACCTACACTATAATTTTTGGACCTCGACCTCAGCAGGGTTAAGCCCTATCTGTACAACTCTATTTGAGAGAGGACAACTGAAAGCTTGCACCTGGTCTCTGCTGGACCCCACCCTATTTTTGTTGCTGATTTTAATCTGTATCCTTTCACTGTAATACTTGTTATTGTAACTACAACAGTTTTCTTGAGTTGTGTGAGTTTTCCAGCAAATCATTGAACTTGAAGGTTGTCTTGGGTATCCTTGAACATGAATAGTAATCAAAAACTCCCTCATCATAGCATAAATAACAATTATAGCTTCCATTTTATCATTTGCATTTTATTTTTGCTGCTTTTTAAAAAGAGTTAATTTAAAAAATTTCTGCATTATAAAATCCAGGTTTTAGTCCCTTAATGTGTGAGAGGGTTTTTCTTTTGTTTTGCTTTCTTAGACAGTTATACATGTTAACAAGTGTTTTACATATTCTACATGTAAACATGAGCACACAAAACATGGGAATATACAGAGTAAAATGTTAGTGCCCTTCAACTCTTCTACTTCCCTCCCTGAAGGTAATTCACTGTCTGTCACTTTGTGTACATGCTTTTCTGTGCATTTACAGACACATATAACCACATACATATTTAACATAACACACACTGGACTATGTGCATTGTTGTGCAACATCCTTTACTCACTAAACGTCTTAGAGCTCTTTCCCTGTCTGTTAACTTGATAATAAACTGCCTTACTGTATTACATAGCAGCATAGTATTCCACTGTATGGATCTACCATAAGTAACTATGTCCCTAGGCAACATTTGGCCTCCAGCAATTTCTCACAATTAGAAATAATACTGCAATAAACATCTTTGTATATATATCCTTGTATACCTGTGCAAGTATTTCTGCATAACAGATACTACAGTGGAATTTTTCAGCCACAGACTAAATTCATTTAACATTTTTGTAGATATAGTCAAATTCCCACTCAAAATGATCTTCTTCAACTTTACAGCTGGTGCCCTTCTTATTCCCTCCCCCCACATTTTCCTCAATACTTTGTATCATTAATATAATTATTTATATTTTGTCAGTCCAGTGGGTAAAAAATATCTTTGTCTCCATTTGTATTCTTTGGTTACTTATGAGGTTAAACTTTATTTTTGTTCATTCATTAGCTGTGTTTCGTCTATAAAATGCTGTGTATATCCTTTGCCTACTTTCTTTTTTTGTTGTTAACAGATGTTCTTTACATATTATAAACATTAATCCTTTATGTCTTACATATGTTGCAAATATTTTCTTCATGTCTCTTATTTTTAGGTCTTTGTTCTTTTAAAATAGTGAAATTTAAAATTTTGATATAATCAAGTTAATGAGTTTTCCCAGAGTTTTGTGTCCTGTTTGAGTAGCTTGGGATGGCTAGAGCATAGAGTTGCAAGGGTAGAAGGCAAAGCAGTATGCAATATTAAAATTATAAAGGGCTTTGAAAGCACTGCTAAGAAACTAAAACATTATACTGAAGGCAACAGGGAACCATGTAAGTTTTCAACAATAGAAAGATTTTCAACAAACATAATTATCTACCTACTAAGTGCCATCATCAAATCTGTCTCTTAGAAAAATATAATTTTTGTATATTTTACATTTCACACAATTTATAAGTTAAACATAGATAATATGTCAAAGGGTATAGTTAAGGGGAGTTTGCTATACTACATTATTAAAAATATTTTAAATTAAAACAAAATGGTATCAGTGCAGAAATTGTCAGAGCAGTGAAAGAAACAGTCTTAAAACAGGTCCGGCTCTGGCCGGGTGGCTCAGTTGGTTGGAGGGTCGTCTGATCACCAAAAGGTTGCGGGGTTTGATTCCCGGTCAGGACACATACCTACGTCGTGGGCTTGACGCCTGATCGCGGGGCAGATACGAGAGGAAACTGATCAATGCTTTCTGTCTCTCTAAAATGAATAATAAAAAAATATCCTTGGGTGAGGATTAAATTAATATGTATTTACAAACAAGCCTGAGTATATGCCTACCTACAGAATATAATGTCATTTCAATTCAGTGGGAAAACAGCAATAGATGACACTAAGGAAGGTGTGACGATAAGGGATATACAAGATAGGGTCACTTTAACTAAGCTCCTAAAATTGTTAACATTACAAGCTTTTAGGCATGAGGAAAAGCTATTCTTGTTCTAACTAGCCTGAGAACTTAAGAGCTTTTGAACTATCCAGTCCTGCATCAATGCCTAGATATACCTGTATTTTGCTGTGTATACTGGGCACTTTTTTGTGCAAATTTTTGAGGGAAAAATAAGGGTGTGCATTATACATGGGCAGTGCCTGAAATACCTTGTATCTACTCTTGTGTTTTGTAATTGTTACATACCATTTCTTGTACCATAATACGTTAAAAAAATAAATGCTAGAATTCCTTTATAATACAAAAAGCAAGTAAATATAAATAAAAATTGAATTAAAAATTAAAACAAAATATTTATTTCTTGGAAGTTGGGGCCAAAAACATGGGTGCGTGTTATACAGGCCAAACTACAGTACATCTGGACCTCCAGATAACCCTTTATCCCCGAAATAATTATTCAGATCACCTAATTATTTTCTGAAGGACTCACATATGCATCCACCTGACATCTATTATCCAGACCACGTGACATAACCAGACCTCATGACCCCCACCTTCCTGATCACCTGGCATCCTTATCCTGCCTGTCATCTGACTGATAACTGTCCTGGACCAATCCTAGGGTTAAGAATGCAGGGTTGAAAAATTCTCACGAATGTCCTTTTTTTCTATAAGAACTTTAAACTTTTCTTTCTTTTTTGGAACAGTTCTGGATTTTTGGCTAGCTGTGTTTCCAGTTGCAAAGTCTAAGACCCTTAAATAATGCCCAATAAAACATAAGTAAAAATGTAAAAAAGGTGGTTTTTTTAATCCTTCATAAGTATAATGGTGATTGTTTTAATAATCTTGACTTGGGGGGAAACTCCAAAACATGATACCCACCCACGCCTACATAAAACTAAATCGCATAAGATATTAAAGGAAAACACATTTAAAATCTTTAGTTGGGGAAGGCCTTCCTATCAAACAAGGGACACAGGGTATCGGAGAAGGCTGGGGCGCCGCTGAGGGGATCCGAGTCGAAGCGTGGTGGCGGCTTCCGCGTCCAGGGTGCCCTCGGACCCCGCCTGCCCTTCCCAGAGCCCGCCGTTGCGTTCCCGGCCGCTGCACTCACCAGACAAAGGGCCGTTCGGGTTGCTCCGCCCCCTGACACCGCCTCCGCGCTGCCTCCTCCTCCCCCCGCCCAAACCCGGGCGGGAGCTGGTGTGAGTGCCCTGACGCTTGAACCAATGACTCCCAGGGACTGGGCCCCTGGGGCTGGACCAGCCCCCAGAGCCAGGTAGACTCTGTTGGGAAAACCCAGCAATGGCGACTGCGCCGTGCTGGCTTCGGCTCTCCAATACGCATGCGCCAGCGGCGTCCGGGGCAGACAGCTTCCCACCTGCTGGTTCGGACCTGCCACCCGTTTTCCCAGGTCTGCTCTACACCAGGGCCCGCAACCCCGGAGTCCTGAGACTTAGCCCGCGACCCTCACAGAATTTCGCGTACTGAGAGGGAAGAGGCGGTGGCGAGGACCCTTCCATAATCCCTGTCAATTAGAAATGTTCCACTGTCAGGCTGTGCGCGGTGTCGCTGCTCCGACCCCTAGGCGGCTGGACGAGACCCCGCTCTCCTGGGTTCCGGAATATCGCTCCCAACCCCTGCCTTTTTATACCGACGAAACTGTAAATATAATAATAATGATTGAATACAACTTTTTGGGAACACAGGTCTACTGATGAGAAGAATGGAATTCTTTTAAGAGGGATAAGATTTTACTTAATTGGGGTTCAAAGTTAGTTCTCCAGCACCAACATGGACTGCGAAAGTTCATCTGCTAATGGTAGTCTGTAATGAAATCTTATATATTTCCATCTTTGAAAACCTTTCAAATATATAGATACTTCAGATACTGATGTTCATAAGCACATGATTTACATTGAACATATTCATTGCTTGGAAGACATTTATAAAACTACATTATATTGTCTTGATGGGATGTCCTTAGATGTCAGATTAATCACTCCTATTGTAAATAAAGGTTAAGTAGCAGCTCTGCAGCTGCATAGTTAAATGGATTTTGAAATACGGAAATGCCCTTTGCACTTGCACAGAGGTCTGAAAATGCTATTGGAACAATAGTTTGCACTTGAAAAAATACATCCTCTGCTAATTTTGTGAGGGGATAGGGCTCTCACTTCTTGTTTTACCTTTTGACAGCACTACAAGTATATAAAGCAGCTTAGCATCACTTGTGATTCAAACAATATTAGTTGTCATCGAAATGACTTTACTGTAGTACAAGTTATATGCTATAGCTGTTTTACCTTGTAATTTTAGGTTGGCTTCATTAAGAAACATGATCAAGTTTGCAGAAAAAGCTTATTTCCAAATCCATTCAGTATTTGATAAGTGACTGAGAACAGTTCTCATTTAGAAAAATTTAGACCTTGGCGCTGAAGTCAAATCTTAATAAAATTTTAACACACACACACACACACACACACACACACACACACACACAACCTTACCGCTTTTAATCCATCAAACTTCTGGCTATGTAGTAGGGTACATCAGGATACTTAATTTCTATATTTTTGGTGAAAATTTATGAAACTAGCAATGGTTAAATCCATGAGAAGAAATAAAGTTCACCATTGCCATTACTATTTTAATAATCCATGGTAGATTCAAATATTTTCCACAAAGTACCTACTTAGCAAATTCCACTCAATGAGTACTGAATTAGGGTTTTCTCAACTTGTTTGAAAATATCCTTTCTTGAAGTTGTACATAGACTATTCACAAATGCTAATTTTTCAGTCACTTCAAAATTGGCATTGACTCTTGAATAAAAAAAACAAACACTGAACAGTATCCATAATATGTTGACTCATCATGAGCCAAGCAAACTTACTTTGGTTGCAATCTTATCCTTATTTTTTATCTTTGTGAAGAAATTCTGGTGTGATGATATATTATTTCCTTTTGAACTTTCTAATTATTCTGACCATTGCTTTCTGACACAATTACTATGGTAATATCTGGCCTGTATTCAGCTTGCCTGTAAGATCCAAAGTGAATAGCTGGTTTGGCAGGTTCTTTGTCATTTACAATTAACACACTAGTAGTTCTTTAAGGCAAAACTTCAGGTATAGTTTCATTCAGCGGGGCTCTCTCAGAGTCTTGCAAGGCTAAAGTTAAGATGTCAACAGGGCCATGCTCCATTCTGGAGGCTCTGGGGAAAAATATACTTCTCATCTTACTCAGATTGTTGGTTGAATTTAGCTCCTTGTGGTTGTAGGACTGGGGTATCCCTTTCCTCTTGCCTGTCAGCGGGAGCCAGTCTTTACTCCTAGAGTTTGTCGGTATCCCTTTCCTGCCAGTTTTATTTTATTTTATTTTTTAAGCTTAAAGGTGAGTTTATTAAGTTCATTGATGAAAGCTTCAGAAGAATATTCTGAAAATTATTTTTTCTCAGAGAAAAATGGAAAATCAACATTCTCTCCATAAAGCCAAAGATGCTGTGTCAGTTAAGCCTCTCTACAGACGAGGATGGTCGATTGATTGGTCAAGTCACTCTCTGGGTCAGCAGAATTATAGTCTGGATCATCCTCATCATCTTCTAGCTCCAAGTCATCCATTTTCTGGAACAAAGATTCATTTACTTCTACATTATTTCCAACATCCTTCAAGAACTGGGTGTCAGATGTGCCAAGATTATAATCTGTTTCAAATAGTTGTTTCCCGCTCATTTTTTTCCTGCTTGTTCTTTTATTTTTATTAGTTTCTTTTTAGTTTCCAAGAGTTCTGCATCAAATTTGGCTTTCTAACTTAAGAAATTCTCGATTTTAACTAGTGCCATGAAATAATTGCTTTTCAGCTTCTTCTTTTCTTTTTCCTTTTGTTTCTTTTCTTCTTCTCTTCTAGTTTTTATTTGATCCATTATTTCATTTATTTTTTCTGGCACAGCTGTCATTAATGATCATCACCATACCATGTTTTCTTTTTTATTAATGCTAATAACTTTTAAATGCCTGAGACATCCTTATCTTCCAGATTTTCTTCCAAATTTTCTTCCAAGATTATCTTCCAAATTCTGAATTCCAAGATTATCTTCCAAATTTATATATTTATATATTTATAAAGAGGAGCTTCATCAGGGTATTTCTCAGTGTATGTAAACTTGAGGATAGCCTAGATGATTTCAAAATTTTCTCCAGCCTCAGATGTCACGGTGATGGTGAATCTGGGAGGATTCTCTGGTAATACTGTAAAGGAGTCGAGGTAGATGGACTCCAGAGCCTCCAGCTCATTGTGCTGCTCCTCACTGTAATCTGTCATTACGGCCCTTGCCACTGCCCATTGATTGCCCAGAGACCCAGGCGGCACGCTACAGCCAGGGCCACGCTGCACTAGGAGAGCAGGCAGTGGCCTGGCGGGTACAGGCACAGAGTCCCCAGGTGGGAGACCTGGGGCCCAAAGCTAAGTCTCCTGCCATTTTATTTTCCTATGTATTTGCTGAAGTTCAAACTGGGTCCATCTGTTCTTTCCCTAAAGTCACTGAACATTTGTATAACCAGTGTTTTGAAGTCAGATTCCTTGTCTCATTTCATTTAGTTATTTTTCTGGAGTTTTGTCTGGTTCTTCATTGGGGTATGTTTCTTTGTCTTCTCATTTTGGATGCATTTCTGTGTTTGTTTCTATATATTAGGTAGATCTGCTACATCCTCTGGTCTTGGCAGAGTTGCCCTATAGAGTAGGTGTCCTGTGGTGCCCAGTGGCACAGTCTCTGGTAACTTGAGCCAGGTGCTCTAGGAATGTCCTTCATGTGAGTTGTGTGTGCCCTCCTGTTGTAGTTGAGTTGTTTAAAAACAATTTTGCATCTTCTTTTATGCATTTGAAATAAAGGGCGGGGGCGTAAGGAAGATTACATGGAGGTGGACGGAAGCAATGTGGGACTGGGACTACAGTGTAGTTAACAAGATTATGTGCTCTCTTGAGGGTGGTTACAGCTTATTTCAAAGTCTTGGAGAGCATTATGTTAAGTGCAATAAACCAGGTGATGAAAGACAAATACTGTATGATCTCACCTATAAGTGGATTCTAATCAACAAAACAAACAAGCAAGCAAAATATAACCAGAGACATTGAATTAAAGAACAAACTGACAGTAACCAGAGGTGAGGAGGGAGGGAGCTAATGAGGGGAAGAAGAGTTAGGGTCATCAAGGAACATGAATAAAGGACCCATGGACAAAGCCAAAAGGAGATAGAATTGAGGGTGGGAGATCGGGGTAGGTAGGGCAGGGGAGAGTGGTGGGGGGGAAATGGAGACAACTGTACTTGAACAACAATTTTTTAAAAAGTCTTATTAACCTAGATGCATAGAAATAATGGATGGCATTTTGCTTAAGGCAAAGCAGGTTAATTCACATATCCATCACCGTATATTTACCATTTTGTGTGTGTGTGTGGGTGGTGGAACATTTTATATCTACTCTTGTAGAAAATTTTAAGTATGCAATACATTATTATTAACTATAGTCATCATGTTGTACATTAGATCTCTAGAACTTTGGAGTCTGCATAGCTGAAACTTAATACTCTTGAATTTATAGTAACTTATTTTCAATTCTGAGAAAAGATAAGTATAAGGAGTCAAGAAGCAACGCTTTTTCAGTAGTTTAAATGTTTATTGTTGATTGCAGTTAAAGACTGAAAATCACTGCAATACTCACTGTTAACATTCTGCTAAGTAATTCAGAACCTCTATATATACTAGACTAGAATAAACCATACCATACAGCAGAACACTATCTGTATGAGAAAACACTATTTACCATTACAGAAAAGTGAGATAAAGTATATAGTGGGATAATCCTCAGGATATATCAAATGAAGAAACCATTGTAAACAGAGCCATTCTTTAATTCTGTTTGCTTTTCTCTTTGCCATAGCCATCTGTAATATTTTCTTTTAAATTGTGCCTCATTTCCTCTGTATCTTTGTGCCATACTCAAAAGTAGGATAGCATGTCCTTCAAAGGGAGCTCTGCTTATAAATCAGCACAACATGTTCTCTTGTATCTCTCCTCCCTTGTTCCAAACAGTTTCAAACCCAGCGAATATTTGGTCTACAAATATCAAGAACACCAGCTTTGGAGTCAGTACAGACCTGTGTCTGCTGCATAGCTGAAATCTTGGGCAGGTAAGTTATTTAATTTCTCTGAATCTGAATTTTTTGTTCTGGCATATGACAATGAAAATACATGTATCTCATTGATGCATGGTCGTGAGGACTAAAGGAGGTAGAGTACATAAACAGCACAGTACTAGGTACGTAATAAATACTTCAGAAATGACAGTTATCATTCATTTAGTTTGGCGTTTAACAGACTTGTTTAAATGTTATAAACTCTGCTTTCCCCATTCTCCTTCACTAAGCACACTCTAATCCTCCAGCTTCTTCTGGTAATCTACTCTGGAAAGGTAAGTACTTATTAAGTGTCTTTCTGGTTTTTAAAGCAAAATTCTCTATTTCCCTTTCATGTCCAGAGAGCCCTTCAAAGAAGAGTATTCTTTGTCCTCTTGATTTCAAAAGGGAGTTAACCTTTCTTTAGATGCTTTTTGCATGTTTATGGTTAAATGTAATATTGTACATTGTAAGTTAAATATAGAAGCTATATTTGCTATATAGAAGCCTGTCTAGCAAAACAGCCACAATTAATGAATAATTTTCCTTTGCTCACAGTCTTTTTATTTTTAAATTATATTTTACTGTTTATGTTAATGCAATTGTAGTAATTTTGCCCTCTTTGCCCCTCTCCACCCAGCAACCCCCCACTCCCTCAGGCAATCCCCCTGCCGTTGTCCCTGTACATGGGTCATGTGAATGTTTTTTGGCTACTCTATTCCCTGTGCTGTACTTTACATTCCCATGACTATTCTGTAACTACCAATTTGTACTTCTTATTCCCTTTACCTTTTTCACCCTTCTCTCTGATCCCTCTCCCATCCGGCAACCATCTCTGTATCTATGATTCAAAACAACCACAATTTAAAACAATAATAGTGTGGACTGAAAGCCAAAACCTGGGATAATGTCTATATTAGACTCCCTTATTGATGAAACTATATTGTAGAAATATTGTCTTTTACATTGATTTTTAAAAGGGTTTTTTTGTTTTGTTTTGTTTTCAGCTCTTTCAGTCTGGCATGGCAGAAAAAGCAATGTGCATGTCCACACAAATACCCGATGATGAAGATATAGTTGAGTACATCTTTCAAATAGAACTCTTCATTCTATACTTCAACAGGATTGTGTAGTTTCAAAATATTGGCTCAGTAAACTGAGATAAACCTAGATGATAAAGGCTTATGCTTGGACATGAATTAACTTTCATACTAATTAGAGTTAAGTATTATGAAGGTTTAAATAATTATTGCGTGTTTTTTTAGTCTGAAGACTTTTTTCATAGTGCAAGAGATCATTCCTATTTAATACCAAAGAATAATAAATTAAAACTCCAGGACCTCCTCTTAGGTAACAAGAATAGTGCTATTTTGAAGTATATGTTTATGGAACTTCATGTACTGATAATACATAACTTTTAAATGAAGTTTACTTTAGGAAGTAGTTGGGTGGCTGCTTGTTTATTACTTCACACTGAGCAGGAGATTGGATCAAGTTCCATATTAAGATGAGCTTCTGTTCTAGGGAAAGCATATAGTAATTGATGTAAAATTTATACTAAAAGAGAAAATAGTATGTCTGAATGGGTGAAAACTTGGTTTTAGAATTCTTTTTGACTAAAATGTCAAATATATACATGAATATTGAGCTATGTTAAATAGCGTTCATTTATGTCTTAATAACTAAAGGTTCTCTTCCTGGTGTTCTCTCTTTTCTCAAACGTGTGTTTCTCTATCTTAGTTTTAACGACCAAATTATCTTATTTTTCTCTTTTCCTTCTCATTGTTACTCCTCTGGAGTGCATGGATTATTCAACTGTTTTGTTCTGGCAATCATGCCTTTCAAATCACACTTGACCTGCCTTTCATCCTCACTGCTTTACTGACACTACTATCAGTCATGTCTCAGTGACCGAACCTCTGGCTTGTGCCCATTCCATACAGTTTTTGGCCCCTCTTCTGCATTAAATCACAGTGAATGCTTGTTTGTTTATGTGACATTAAAATCGTCAAGTGTTAGAATTAGAAGAGACCTCAAAGGCCAGTTCATCAAATTTTAATCTGATACATAAATGCTTGCTACAGACCCTTTAGAAAGTAATCTTCCAACCTTTTTTTGAACTCTAGTACAGTTAGCAACTTAGTTTGTTTCTTTTTAAGATATTAAAAATGACATTCTCACATTATTAAAAGAAAAACTTAAACAATACAAAAGAGAAAACACTCCTTTCAAGCTAGGTTTCTTTCTTTTTTTTTAACCACCAACAACTAATCTTTGGACAACTTTTCATGTGAACACATCCAGATACACCTTTTTAAAAAACAACTCTTTACTTTTGCTCTTATGAAAGTACTTTTCTTCAATAATCAGTTGCCTTTTGGTGGCTATAAAGTACTTTCTTTTTTTCTTTTTGCTATTCTGTACAACACTGCATTGAATATCCTCATATCTAGTTTTTCATGTACATGTTAGAATATCTTCCTAGAAATGAAATTGTTGGGTTAAAGAAGATATGCAATTGTTTTATTTGATGGTAATTAACAAATTATTCTATAAAGATATGCTAATTTATACTCAAACCATCAATATGTGATGCCTGTTTTGTTTTTTCCTTTATCTCTCTCCTGTATTAGAATTCAAGGCTTAAGTAGTTCCATTTAATTTTGGGATAACTTTCATTATAAGAAAATCCTTCCCATATGTTGTATAAAATTAGACCCTTGGAACTCTTCCTCCTCTTGCAATTCCATTGAGCACCACAAAATAAGTGCAACATCTTTTTCAAATGAATCTTTATTCTTATTTCCTCACACTTAAAATATTCAGTTTTCTCACATAAGGTCTTTAAAATTGAGATATAATTGACATATAATATTGTATAAGTTTAAGGTATACAACCTAATGATTGAATGTATGTATATATTGCAAAATGATCACTGCAATAAGTTTAATTAACATCCACCACCACATGTGGTTACAATTATTTATGTTGTGATGAGAACTTTTGAGGTCTACTCTCTTCTCATGTAATGTTTTAACTTAAGTTCTGTTATTAGTTTCCTTTTGTGTTCCTTCCTTTGCTGTTCTCATCTCCTCTTTGTCTTCCTTTCGTTCTCCCTTCCTCTATTCCTTCCTATCTTCCTCCCCCCTTTCCTTCCAGGCTATTAAATGAGCACCAACACTGTACCAGGATCTAGGCAAAATGTGGACTGATGTACAGTGTTCTAATGTCCCTCTTAGAGTTAAAGATGAATCTCCAAGAAAGGTTTGACCACCAGAGATAAGTTCAGACTGCCCATCTTTTATCTGGATACACTGATCCTCATAGGTTTTTTCCCTGAAACTACATTACAATATTAAATCTTTACATTTACAATGAGCTGCATTTCTTGTTTCTCTTCTCTCTTTATGCTTTTATTAAACTTAATTTGCCATTCAGCCTTGGGCTGTACATGCAACATAAGTATGTTTATTTATTTATTTTTGGGGTTGCACCTAGTTTTCTCACCTAGCACAATATTTTCAAAATTGACACTGTGTTGATTTTTTTCTCTCTCCCTGCCTGGCCATTCCTCATCTCCTCTTTAGGTTCATTTCTTCACCTCCTGAGAGTGGACATTTCCCATGTCTCATTCTTGAACCTTTTGTTCTTCTTTATCTGCATCCAAGTCTCTACTGTTCTCAAATGTATCCAGTTGCCTTCAGGCCATTTCTATACTTTTCTTAAAATTAAAATTTTAAAAGAAACTTATTTTTCTCTCCAACAAAACAATACTAGCTTTCTTTTTGCTTTTTTATTGCTTATCATAGTATCTGATTAGTTATCAAGATCTTCTGATTCTTTATTTCACAACATTTCTCTCAAACACTCTCTTTTTTCATTCACACCAGTAATTTTATCACCACAACTTTTATTAGAAGATTGTCCCCACAACTTTGATTTTCCCTCCAGGACATTTTGCATAGCAGTGCCTTATTCATCTTTTTAAATGCTTTTTTCTTCTACCATTCCCTTACTCAAAAGCTCTATACAATGCTCATTACCATTTAGATAAAATCCATATTTCTTACACTCATACTCAAAACTCTGTATTGTTAGGGTCATTTTTATCTTTTGAATTTTCTCTTCCTCAGTTTCCTAAGTTAAGTCTTTCCCTTTATGTGTGAGTTCCTTATTGTGCAAGGGCACATAGTCCATAATTCTGCCTTTAAGCCCTTTGCAGTCTTGTCTCCTGTTCATAATACTTACCTACTCCATAAATATTATCCTGTCTTCAAGAGGCAATCTGCTATCTGCAATCTTAATGAATTATCTTTAACTACTTCATGACACAGTCATCTATCCTTGTTCCAAGTTCCTACATTATTTATTGACTTTTCTATAAATTTGGCACTTGGTATGACATTAACAAATATTTTAACCTTTTCTGCATGGATTTCATTCTCATTAAAATTGTAAGCTCTTCATAAATAAGACTCTTGACTATTGGAATATTAGGGTGTGAAAGAATTTTAAACTTACCTAGTTAAATGTTCTCAATTTACAGAGAGAACAGAGGCAAAAGTGACTGCCTGAAAGGCTCACAATGACTCGTGAATTTTCTTATTCAGCCAGCTCTTCCCAGTGCCACAGGGAAACAGTTCAGTGAGTACAGTTTAAGCGTCAGGGCTTGTCAGTACTCGTATGCACTTTCATAGTTTACAGACTATGAATTGATGTACCTTACCCATTTTCTACACGTAATCTGTGTACACTTGTTATCCGGGATTAAAATAATCTATGTTTTGCACCTCAGTTTCATGTGAATACACAGGAAATAATTCTTTTAATAGTAGGTTAAACCTTACATTTTTATGCACCCACTTTGTTTACTTCTTACTTCTTTTACTTGTGTATGGTGCAAAGGCGAATTCAAGAACAAGACTTGAATGATCACAAATTCCAAATTACTAGAATGTGAAATACTTGTTTTCTACATAGCTATTGGCATTTTATAAAAATAAACAGTATAAAAAAGAACTTGTGGCCCATCAGAAGACATTTGTTAAGTAATAGTGGTGAGGCTATGGGAATGTCTGCTTGCTCTATTTGCTCTGTGGTAAGAACTTGGTGCTAATGAGGCCAAGGTTTCAGGTCCTTTTTTCATGAGACAATGGGCTGTATTTTGTTCTGTTGACACACATCTCCCTGAGCTACAGAGTTAAAAATGAGAAAGCTCTGTTATAAGGGAGTGTAGGGCAGAGAGGACAGTGGAGTGTCCAAATCTATTCTTGTTACATTAAAACAATCTTCAGATGCCGTGGATCAAGGTGTTCCCTTTATAAGCAGAGAAGAACTCAGAATTTACCACATAGACAAAACTCTACCTTCTAAGAGAACAAATAGTGAGGAATTAAAAATTTCTATTTCTTATTTGATTATATTTCAGTTTGGTATTGTTAAATACACTCTCTGTAAATATGAAATCCCAGTGGAATTTCTATCAGTTAATCTTTGGTGGTTGATTCCTGGTATGTAGGGCTCAAGTCCTCTCCCTATTATTTACTGTTTATTCAACCAGCAACTATTGAGAACCTCTTGGGATCTTAACCTCTTATTTTGACAAGAGAAGAATAGTTAATTCTGATACTAATCATAGTGATACTACTAAGTTAATACAAATGTTCTCCTTATATCTGTTATATCCATTATATTATGTTATAGTATATTGTATTATGTCTGTCAATATTTGCCTCGTATATTTAGGTGCTACTATGTTGGATGCATACAGGTCTACAAGAGTTAATATCCTCTTCTTAGATTGAGCCCTTTACTAGTATGAAATTACCTTCTTTGTCTATTGCTGCAGCCTTTGTTTTAATGACTATTTTGTCTGATGTGAGTATTGCTATTCCGGATTTTCTTTTATTTCCATTTACATGAAATATCTTTTTACTTCTTTACTTTCAGTCTGTGTGAGTTAGTGATGTTAGCTGGTCTCTTGCAAACAGCAAATGAATGGGTATTTTAAAAAATCCATTCAGCTAAATTATGTCTTTTAATTGAAGCATTTAGTGTATTGACATTTAATTGTTGGTAGGTATGTAGTTATTGCCAATTTATTAATTGTTTTCTGGTTGGTTTTGTAGTTCTTTTTTTATTATTCTCTTGCTTTCTTCTCTTGTATGTTAATGACTTCTATAGTGTTGTGTCTGTATTTCTTTATTTCTTTTATATGTCTGGTAGATACACGTCATATATACCAACCTATGTTTATATAGTCTATTTTAACTTGATGGTTGCTTAATTCAAAACACATTCTAAAATCACTACAGTTTTTACTCACCACCTCCATGGTTGTTTTGTCATTCTTTTTTATTTCATATGTGTGTATGTGTGTGTTTGTGTGTATCCCCTAGTTTATTGTAATTATACATGGTCTTCCTACTTTGCCTTTTAATCATTATACTAGTGTATGGTTAGTTGGTTGGCCCACAACTTTTCTAAGTGTTTGCCTTTGTCAGTGAGAATTTTTCTTTCCTATATCTATTCATATTTTTAATCTATTCTTTTTTTTCTGAAAGAAGTCCCTTGAACATGTATTGTAAAAATGGTTTAGTGGTGATGAACTCTTTGAACTTGTTCTTGTCTGGGGCACTATTCTCAATCCAAATGACAGCCTTGCTTGCCATCACTTTGAATATTTCATACCAGGCCCTTTTAGCTTGCAATGTTTCTGATCAGAAATCAGCCAATAGTCTTATGGGAACTTCTATGTATGTAACTAACTGCTTTTTTTCCTGCTAATCTTAAGATTCTGTTTTTTTCTTTAACCTTTGGCATTTGATTATTTCATTAAGTTATTCAGGTGACATTGGTTAATAATAATATATAACTTTCAAATATTTAAGTCTTTAATACATTATCTGTATATTGTATTGTGTGCTCACCACTTAAAGTCAAGTCTCCCTCCATTACCATATATTTGAACCTCTTTATTCCCTTCAAGGCCCCCCACCCTCTTTCCCCTCTAGTAACCATGATACTGTTGTCTTTGTCTCTGGGATTTTGTTTGTTTCTTTTATTTGTTTGTTGCTTTCTGTTTTATATACCACATATGAGTGAAATCATATGGTTCTTGTCCTCTTCTCTCTGACTTTTTCACTTATCAGGATACTCTGAAGATCCATCCATATTGTAACATATGGCAATATTTCATCATTTCTTATGGCTGAGTAGTATTCCATTGTAATAAGGACTACGTCTTCTTTATTCAATCATCCATCAAAGGACACAGGCTATTTCCATGTCTTGGCTATTGTGAATGATGCTACTGTGAATATAGGGGTACATACATCTCTATGAATAAATGTTTTTGCCCTGACAGGTGCAGCTTAATTGGTTGGATGTCATCCCACAAAGCAAAAGGTCGTGGGTTCAATTCCTGGTCAGGCATATGCCTGGGTTGCAGGTTTGGTCCCCTGTCAGGGCACATATGAGAGCCAATTAATTGATGTTTCTTTTTTACATAAATGATTTCTCCCTCTCTTTCTCCCTCCCCTCACCTCTCTCTAAAAATAAATAAATACAATCTTTTAAAAATTAATGAATGTTTTCAAATTTTTCAAGTAGAAACCAACAAGAGGGAGTGCTGAGTCATTTGGTAGTTCTATTTTTAGTTTTTTTTAGGAACCTCCATATTGTTTTCCATAGTGGCTGTACCAATTTACATTTCCACCAGCAGTCTATGAGAGTTCCTTTTTCTCTGTCTTCTCTAGCACTTGTTATTTTCTGTCTTGTTGATATAGTCATTCTAACAGGTTTGAGGTGGTATCTCATTGTGGTTTTGTTTGAGTTTCCCTTATTGCTAGTGAAGTTGAGCATCTTTTCATATATCTGTTGACCATTTGTATGTCTTCTTGGAAAAAGTGTATGTTCAGATCCTATGCCCATTTTCTAATTGGATTTTTTGGATGTAGAATTGTATGAGTTCTTTATATATTTTGGATCTTAGCCCCTAACCAAAGGTATTTTTTGCAAATATCTGCTCCCATTAGGTTGGTTGCCTTTTTGTTTTGATGGGGGTTTTTTTCTGTGCAGAAGCTTTTTAATTTGACATAGTCCCATTAATTTATTTTTGCTTTTACTTCCCTTGCCTTTGAGCTTAAATCCATCAAGTCCTCTCTAAGACCAAGGTCCATAACTTTAGTACCTATGTTTTCTCTTATGTATTTTATTGTTTCAGGTCTTATATCTAGGTCACATTTAGATCCATTTTGAGTTAATTTGTGTGTATGATGTCAAAGAGCAGTCTGGTTTCATTCTTTTGCATACAGATTTCCAGTTTTCCCAGCACCATTTATTGAGGAGGGTTTATTTTCTTTCTTTCTTTAAAAAAAATCTTCACCTGAAGACATGCTCAATGACTTTAGAGAGAGTGGAAGGGAAGGAGAATTTGATGGAGAGAAACATTGATGAGAGAGAGAAACATCAGTGGCCTCCCATATGCACTCCAGTGGGGGACTGAACCTACCACCTAGGTATGTGCCGTGACCAAGAATCAAACCTGTGTCCTTTTGGTTTATGGGATGACACTCTAATCAACTGAGTCACACTGGCCAGGGCAAAGAGTGTTTCTTTTCTTCATTGCATGTTTTTGGCTCTTTTGTGGAAAATTATTTGCCCATATACATGTGGGTTTATTTCTGGCTCTCAATTATTTTCCATTGTTTTATGTGTCTGGTTTTTTTTTTTCAACAACATATTGTTTTTATATGTTGTTTGATTGTAGCTTCGTAGTATTGTTTGAAGTCAAAGAGTGTGTACCTCTGGCTTTCTTCATTTTTTTTCCTTAGAGTTGCTTTGGCTGTTCTGGGTCTTTTGCAGTTCCATACAAATTTGATATTTTTTTTGTTCTATGTCTTTGAAAAATGCTGTTGGGATTTTGATTGAAATTGCATTAAATCTGTGTATTGCTTTGGGTAATATGGCCATTTTATCTATGTTGACTCTTTCAATCCATGAACTTGGAATATCTTCATTTCTTCAATTTTTAAAAAATAGTGTCTTGTAGTTTATAGTGTGTAGGTCATTCAGACTCTTGGTTAAGTTTATTCCTAGGCATTTTATTCTTTTTATTGGAATTTAAATGGAATTCTTTTATTTCTATTTCTATTTCTATTTCTGAAATGACATTGTCAGTATACAGGAACACAATGGATTTTTGTGCATTGATTTTGTATCCTACAACTTTACTGTATTTGTTTATTGCTTCTAATAGTTACTTGATAGAATCTTTAGGGTTTTCTATATAAAGAATCATGTCATCCGCAGGAAGTGACAGCTTGACTTCTTCATTCCCAATATAGATGAAACTCATGTAACCTGGGAAAAACCTGAACTCTAAACTCTGTCCCCTTCTGTCTTCACTGGACCACTTCTGAAATATCAGCTCAGAACTTTCAGAATGACAACTCTTCTCTCAGTTGCCACTGGTCTCTTTGTCATCTTGTTTGCACATGTAAGCTAAGCATTCTAAAATTGGCAGGTTTGGATCTCTCCCCTCTGTGGCTTGCTCTTCCAGGATTTCTTTCTCAATATTCTAGTATTTTGACAGCTCCAATCTCTTAGCCTTTGCAGCCCAAGATCGTCCCTTTCAGTTTGTTCTTTACTTCCCAAGCACCTCATTTACTGGGCAGTAGATGCAGGAGAATGTGTGCATATATGCAATTTTATCTATTATGCTGCCCTTCTTTCCAGGGTTTTATTTCTTCCTGTTTTGTCTGCTTTTTCTTTCCCTTCCAGTGCTTTCAAACAGTTGTTTTAATTGTTAGTGTGAGAAGAGGGGCTACAAGTTACTCTGGTGTTACCATGAGCTAGGAATGTACACACAATTTTATATCTTGCCTGTTTAACTTAATATCTTCACATAAGTAGTTTTCAACTTACTAAAGTATTCTCCATAAATATCTCTAATAACTTAAGAATGCCTTAATATGTGAATAATCATCATTTACTTGTATATTCTGTTACTTCAGGGAGTCATACATTTGAATGTTAAATAGAGAGCTACAATAAACACTTTTCCACATAAACATTTGTGAAATTTTCCACATAAACATTACGTGAAAGTTATTTGGGAGAGGTTTACAAGGGTTAAAGTAATATACATTGTTAAGCCTTTGAATTTTTTTCACCATTTAAAAATAATCAGCTGGTAAATTTATGTATAATATTTATGGATTTCTAGTTTTCTAGGTTGGTATTATTAGCATGGCTGCCTTTAACAATTTGATAGAACACAGGTTCTCAGAGAGCATATGGCAAATTAAAAGTCAAAGTTTTTGTTGCCTTTTTTAAAATTTCAAATTGACCTTGGTTTTCTTAGACATATTAACATATATTGAGTTTCTTAAATATATTAACACACTGAAATAGAATAAAAGGATGCTAATTTTTATTTTTTTTCCATGAAAAAATACTATTTTCAAGTAATACACTGGACTTTCTTGTGGTATTTTTTAATTTTCTATTTTTTTATTTCAAAATACAATCTGTTTGAATATGGTCACAGATAGATTCACTATTTATAAAAATGAGAGCAAAATCTATGTATCTGGGCATAGGTTTCTTTGCTCCCAAGTTTACTTCATTTGCGGCTTGCCTGAGGTATGATAATAATTTCAATTTCTTAGAAACATTATAATTATGTTTTCAAATGATATTTCCTATTCTAAACAAAATCTTTTAACTTGTGTTTTCTTTAAGCAAAGAGAAAATAATGTCCGTGGTTTAACTATGCTTGGTCATTTTGGTTTTGAATGTTTGCCTCATCAGTTGGTGAACAGAGCTATTCAAAAAGGATTTTCTTTTAATATTCTCTGTGTGGGTAAGTGCCAAACTTCTCTGAATTACAACTTAATTTTTCCAAATGCTCATTTCAACTTATCTTCAGCAGTAAAAACTGGCATCGTTAATTCAAAAACCTATCTCCATGTTTATATTGGTTTCCATCTTCTTAGCCATATTACTTAAACATTTTTTCTTTAAATGTTTCAGCATTCTTCAAAATCTGATACAGCTTTGTGTATATTTTCTTTCTACATTATGTTAATGGCTAAAGGTGTCAGGGGTAGCATGTATATTTGCAAGGATGTCACTGTCTTTGAAGTGTTTGGGACCCTTGGAACCACTCTAGGGGTTAGAGTGTTACTTCTTCTCCACCATCTGAAGTCTCTGTATGATGTATCTGTGTTTATTACAGGGGAAACTGGACTTGGAAAATCAACACTGATTGATGCATTGTTTAATACGAATTTGAAAGAAAAAAAATCCTCACATTTTAACTCAAATGTTGAACTTAAAATTCGGACATATGAACTCCAAGAAAGCAATGTGCAGTTGAAGTTAACTGTTGTGAAAACGGTGGGATATGGTGATCAAATGAATAAAGAAGGCAGGTTAGTGCTGTAATTAAACACTAGTGTTAGTATTTTAATTAAAAGTTCTTCTTTTTCAAGGAATTTGCCTTCTTTCTCCATGCACCGAATTGTGGTCTTCTAAGGAAATTGAAACCTTTCCTCTTGGATTTTAATTTTCTAATTAACTAATGTTCTCTTCTTATTATAAAATTGATATTTTGTATCCAGTTGTCTGGTTTCCTTACAATATTTTTAAATTATAGCAAAATTTGTCGATGCAGTTTCTATGAGTTCTAGCTTATTTCCTTATTTCTCCTCTGGTATTATGATGACATTTCATAGTTCCTGTATCAGATTTAATCTGTGTAAAAGGGAAATAAATTAGACAAAGCAATAGCTCTAGGGTTTTCTCCTTTTTGGAATAGATGCATATTCAGTATTATATGTTGCAGTTCTAGTTAGTTAAAGTTAGTTACATAAGAGTGAATGTATTTTTCATATATTGACTTGTCTTGTATGACTTAGTTACATGTAGTGGTGTGCTGAAGCTGGCTCATACAAGTTTCTAAGAGCATACTGTATTAATCTTTTGTCAGTTGTACATTCAACAGCATCATTCAGGCAACTTGAAATAGGCCAGGTGGGAGTATTCACACCACAAAAATCAGTCAGTGCTACAAATCATTTTTTCCTTCCAGAGAACCACACTTTAAACATTCACCAGAATACCACTTGATAAAGACAAACTTTTAAACAAATACTCAGGTTCTAATTTAAACTTGAAAATAATTTGTGTGAAATTTATAAAAAGAATAGACAGTAGAAAAGGAATATCATCATAGTACTAATAGTCACTACTTCTGAAAGTATTTTTAAATATAAGATTAAGCTTAGGATCAAATGCTTAATGTATTATATATATTATGCTGTGTTGTAGAAAAAGACCCACAATAGGTGGTGCTTCCTGTATTAATTTCCTGCATTTACCATACCAAATTACCATAAACTGGGTGGTTTAGAGTAACAGCAATAGTTGAGGAGGGTACATTCTATCAGGTGGCCCTAGGGGAGAATACTTTCTTGCTTTTTTAAACTTCTGTTGGCTATTGGCATTTTCTATGGCTACATCAACCCCAATATCTGGCTCCATCTTCATGTGGCCTTCTTCTCTGCTTTTCAAGCATCTGTTTTAAGGACATTTGTTGTTGGATTTAAGGTGAACCCAGGTAATCCAGGGTAATCTCACACTGAGTCTCTTAACTTCATTATATCTATAAAGACTCTCTTCTTTTTCTTCTTCAAATAAGACCACATTTACTAATTACAGAGATTAGAATGCAGACATATCTTTTGGGGATCATTATTTTTAAAATGTTATTTATTTATTTTTATAGAGAGGGGAAGGGAGGTATAAAGAGGAGAGACACATTGTGAGAGAGAGAAACATCAATTGGTTGCCTCTCTTATGTACCTCAACCTGGGAATGGACCCACAACCTAGGCATGTGCCCTGACCAGAAATTGAACCAGCAACCTTTCACTTTGCGAGATGATGCCCGACCACACCAGTCAGGGCAGTTTCTTAAATATTTTTAAAATTGATGTTCCCCATTTACTTACTTGTTGGATTCTTTGTTTTCTATTAACTATCCCAGTCATAAATGAATTTATTTCTGTGAAAATTTCAAATAACCCAGATGAAATGAAACCCCCCTTAGACAAACTTAAGAACTTTGCACCATTTATTTTTCCAAAAATAACCATTTATTATGAGTTTAGTAGGTGTTCTCTCAGAAATCATCCTTTATGCCATTATTACATTTTATAATAATTGAAATGCATTTGTAATACTACAGAACACATTTCTTTAAAATACATTATACATAGTCAAAATGCATAAAATGTTTATGGGCAAGTTAATACAACAACACCTTCCTGTTCAGGTTATGATCTGCTCCCCACTGCCTTTGGGCATTTCTCTTTTTTGAAGCAACCCATAGAAGCAGAGTGCAAATTGTTGCCGGCGGTTGGAGGAAGGAGAAATGGGGAGTTGCTGCTCAATGAGTATAAATTTTCTGTTGTGCAAAATTACTAAGTTCTAGAGGTGTTCTATAGAAGACAGTGCCTATATTTAACAGCACTTCATTTTGAATTTAAATACTTGTTATGAGGGTAGATCTCGTGTTAACTGTTCTTACCACAATTTAAAAAATTATAAAATGCTGCAAAAGTATTGCTTAGTGGGAAATTTATAACATAAAATCCTTATATTAGAAAAAAGAAAAATCTAAAATCAATAGTGTAAAATTCCACGTTAAGCTATGAGACAAATAAGAAAAAATTGAACTTAAAGCAGGAAAATGAAAAGAAAAATTATGGTAGAGCAGAAATTGATGAAAAGAGAAAAAGGTCAGAAAATCAATAAAACCAAAGGCCTATTATTTGAAAGGATCAATAAAATAAAAAATCTATTTTGTTTGCAAGACTCAGCAAGCAAAATTAGTGAGAAGGCAAACACCACGAATATCAGGAATAAAAGAGATATTATTACTGCTCTTATAACTATTAAAAGGATAAGACAAGTACTACAAACACTTTAATGCTTATATATATAACAATTTAGATGCTAGCCATGGACTTTTCATATATGGTCTTTATTGTGTTGTGATAAATTCCTTCTATAACTAGTTTCAAGAATTTTTGTCATGAAATGGCAGTACATTTTGTCAAATGCTTTTTCTGCATATATTGAGATGGTCATATGATTTTTATATTCTTAATCTGTTAATGTGTTATGCCACATTATTTTACTTGATTATTTTGAACCCTCCTTGCATTAAGGGAAAAAATCTACCTGCTCATGGTGTATGACCCTGTTAATATGCTGTCAAATTCAGTTTGCTAGTATTTTGTTGAAGATTTTTGCATTTAAGTTCATCAGGAATATTGGCCTGTGGTTTTTCTCTTGTGGTGTCTTTATTTCTCTTTGGTATCAGGGTAGTTCCAACCACTCAAAATGAGTTTGGAAAGGTTCCCTTTCTTCAGTTTTTGGACGAGTTTAAGAAATATTGGTGTTAATTCTTTAAATGTTTGTTAAAATTCAATACTGTAGCTCTCCTGTCCTCAGCTTTTTGTTGCTGGTAGACTTTAGTTTTTGTTGTTGTTGTTACTGACTTAATCTTATTCATTATTGATCTACCCAGACTTTCCATTTTTTTCATAAGTTAGTCTTGGTAGGTTGTGTGTTTATTGATATTTCTTTATTGTAGATGATCTAATTTGTTGGCATCATATAATTGTTCATAAGAGTATCTTATGATGCTTTTTTATTTTTGTGGCATCAGTTTTAAGGTTTCCACCTTTTATAATTTTATTTGTCTAGCTAATGGTTTGTCAACTTTGTTTATCAAACCAACTCTTACTTTTGTTGATGCTTCCTATTGTTTTACTATTCTGTCTCATTTATGTCTGCTGTAATCTTTATTTCCTTCTTTCTCTAAATTTGGGCTTAGGTGGCTGTTCTTTTTCTAGTTCTTTGAAGTTAAAAGTTAGAATGTTTAATTGAGATCTTTCTTTTTAAAAAATCTAGGCATTTTTTCACTATAAAATTCCCTCTAATTACTACTTATGCTGTTCCCAGTGTTTTGGTATGTTATGAGTTTTTGTTGTTATTATTTTGTTTGTGTGGAGATATTTTCTAATGTCTGTTTTGACTACTTCTTTGACCCAAGAGTGTGTTTTTAAATTTTCCCAGTTTGTGAATTTTCTAATTTTCCTTCTGTTCTTGACTTCTAGTTTTATTCCATTGTAATCAGAAATAATACATGGTATAATTTCAGTCTTCTTAAATTTGTTAAGACTGTGGGCTTACATATTCTGCTGCTGTTGGGTGTAATATTCTGTATATATCTGTTAGGTTCATTTTTAATATAATATTACTCAATTCAGCTATTTCCTTACTGATTTTCTGTCTGGATGTTCTACCTATTGTTGAAAGGTATTGAAATCTCTTACTGTTTTCATGTTGCTGTGTACTATTCTCCTCAGTTCTGTGAATTTTTGATTTTTTGTATTTAGATACACCATTGTTGAGTGTGTGTGTGTGTATGTATATATTTGTCTTGCTAATGAATTGATCCTTTCATCATTATCAAATACTTTAGTCTCTTGTGACAATTTTGATTTAAATCCTATTTTGACTGGTATAAGTATAACCACCCCTACTCTCCTGATCTTACCATTGGCGTGGATTATCTTTTTCATTCCTTAACTCTCTTCCTATGTGGTCTTGATTCTAAAGTGGGTATATTGTAGACAGCATGTAGTTGGATACACACACACACACACACACACACACACACACATTTGAAATTCATTTAGCCACTCTATGTCTTTTGATCGGACAGTTTAATCCATTAAAGTACTTATTATATGTGGCATATAACATATAAAATATCACAATACATATAAGTAATTATTAATAAGGAATGACTTACTATTGTTATTTTGTTAAATGTTTTCTATCACATAGTTCTTCTGTTCCTATTTGCCTTTCTCTTTTCATTCTTTTGTATTTTGTTGACTTCTTTGTAGTAATGTTTTTATTCCTTTGTCTTTTTCTTTTGTGTATCTTCTATAGGTATTTTCTTTGTGGTTTGCTGAGCACTTACTCCTTTCCCCTGTGGAGAGGTTGCTGCCAGCTATTTTAGCTCCAGGCTATGCTGCCTTGAAGGAAGGCAGATGCCAGCAAAGTTCCTCCTACCTTCTCCAGTGCATCCACATTTGTTCTTTTTTCCATGTTCCAATGGAATCTGCCATCTTGATACTGAACTTCTGCAAATGTCTTTTATCTGTTGGTGTATGTTCAAGAAAACACTCTAGTTTTTCCCTGACTGCATGAAAGAGGGGTTGGGCAGGTTTGCTGGCTTCTTCTGGTTCCACAGCTTGCAGGGAGGTGTGTCTGCCTATTACCAGATGTGCAGTTGAGCAAAACTCCTCCCAGTTCCCTGGCATATGGTACTAGGTTCCACAGATCCCACAGAGGTACCTTTATTAGTAGAGAGATCAGATTACAGTTGTTAAAAAGCAGAGAAGTATTCATTGCCACGATTATGATGTCACTCTTCTGAAATTTTTCATACTATAAAACTTACTTTTATGGTGTATATTTCTGTAGGTTTTTTAAAAAAATGAACTCATTTAGGTGACATTTGTTAATAAAACCATATGGGTTTCAAGTGTAGGTTTTTAAGTTGCATAGAGTTGTATATCCACCATCTCAGTTGTGACATAGAAAAGTTCTATCACATTCAAGAATTCTCTTGTGCTTTAGTCTATCTATTCTTGTGCTGCTACCACACTGTATTATTTTACTTTCATAATGAGACATGACATGTGAAGGATATATCTTCTTGGTTTTCTTCATATGCCTTGGGCATTCTTGGTCCTTTGCACTTCTGTATATATACACATGTACATATTAAAATTTGGTTTCTGATTAGGATTACATTGAGTTGACAGATCATTTTGCCATTTCTATAAATAATGTAAACCATGGCCCTTTATTGCTTTGTAATTGTTATCTTTGTAAGAACATGTTATGTACTTTTTTATATGACAAATTATACATACATGTATTAACTATTCGTTAAATGGTAAAAATGTAGACTTCAGATGTTTTTACAATGTTATGCTGAATGTTTTCCAGTTACCAACCAATAGTTGGCTACTTAGATGCTCAGTTTGAGTCCTATTTTCAAGAAGAATTGAAAATTCAACGTTCCTTTGTTGACTACCATGATTCTCGTGTCCACGTGTGCCTTTACTTCATTTCACCTACAGGACATTCTCTGAAGTCCCTTGATCTATTAACCTTGAAGAGCATTGACAATAAGGTGTGTTTGGTAAATCCATTAACCTATCAAGATTTGATAGTTATTTTGAAATAATACATATCTTGAAGGCATTCTCACACAATAACTTATTTTGTAATATGTGTATAGTATATGTCATATTTATTGTGTTAATTTTTAAAGCATTTCTATTAGGTTCCTAAGAATACCACTGCAAAACACCACAGACTTAAGGGTTTTAAACAATAGAAATTAAATTTCTCATAGTTCTCAAGGCTAGAAGTTCAAGGTTAAGGTGTTGACAAATTTTGTTTCTTCTGAAACCTTTCCTCTTGGGTGGCAGATGGCTGCCTTCTCTCTGTGTTCTCACATAATCTTTCCTTTACAGACACATCTGATGTTTCTTTTTGTGTCCAAGTTTCCCCTTCTTATAAGGACACCAGTAGGATAACATTAGGGCCCATCCTAATGGCCTTATTTTAACATAATTACCACCTTAAAGATTGTATTTCCAAATACAGTCACATTTTGAGATAATTGAGGGTGTTAGGGCTTCAGCATATGCATGGGGATAGGGGAGAAACATATTCATCCCATAACAACATTTGATAAATTTCAACCTTACCTTGCTTGCTAGAGAAATTTAATTAGAAAATACATAGGGATAATGAGATTCAGGTAAAAAAATAAAAATAAAAATTTGGGTTTTCTTGATTAAATGATAATTCAGATTGTGGTTATTTGTCCATATTTTTGAAATTAAAATTACTCTATGTTATTATAAAGTTATTTAATTAACATTTATCTGGCATCACTGATGTTTTAAAACACTCCTGGCTACCAGTCCTATCAGACAGGATGCATAATGCAACATGTACTTTTTTCCAACAGAGGGTCAAATTATTATTATTATTTTTTAAGATTTTATTTATTTATTTTTTAGAGAGGGGGGGGGAGGGAGGGAGAGAGAGAGAGAGAGAGAGAGAGAGAGAGAGAGAGAGAGAAACATTAATGTGTGGTTGCTGGGGGTTCTGGCCTGCAACCCAGGAATGTACCCTGGCTGGGAATCGAACCTGGGACACTTTGGTTCCCAGCCCGCGCTCAATCCACTGAGCTACGCCAGCCAGGGCTGAGGGTCAAATTATTAATGAAAGAAACTTGTATCATGAGATCATCTTCTGCACTCAACCCTGATTAAACTAATGTTTTCAATTTTATTTAGTTGAAGAGAGAAACAGTTCTAAAATTGTTTTTTTAATAAAAAAGTCCTGACTTTTGCTATGCATTGTTCAAACTAGAAATTTTGTAATCTCATGTATCACCAAGTAGTTTAAAGAAGTTATATTTTTAGTTAAAATTAGAAGTTACCTTAATTTCTCAATTTGTAGTATATTCAATAAGCAGGAACACACAGTTTTATTTTTAATTTTAAGGGCATCTGTAATCATCAAGCTATTTCCAGATGCAGGAAACAGCTCACTTTTGCAAAGACCATTGCATAAAGGGACGGGCGAGTGTGTGTGTGTGTCTGTTGTCCTCTCTTCCAGGCTGACCAGCTCTCCTTGCACTAAGTGACTTTTGTTCCTCAAAAGGAACAGCTAAGGAATTATTAACATAAAAATTTTTTAATTTTTATGTTTAATGATATACTATCACTAGAGGAAATCTTTTCTTAGCTTTGTCAACAATAAAACCCAGTACAGCTATCTTAGCAGCTGTTGGCTTTTTACTGTGGAAGCTATTGTTTAAAATTATTAAATTAGACAAAATTTTGAATATATATAACATTGAAACCCTAGATTTGAACAAGGATTTTTTTCTAAAAAATGTACTTTGAAGAATCTACAATTAAAGCAATATATTCAAAAGTGACTTTTACACATTCCTACTATATCACAGAACTTGACATTGTATAGTTATGCTTTAACAAAGTATCTTACTGTAATTGTAATAAAGCACTTTAGCCTTTTTTATAAATTACCTTATTGTTCAATTACAGTTGTCTGCATTTTCACATTTCAGAATTTTATATATTGTTATTTTCTACAGAGTTTAATCATTAAGATGTAAAAACAAGGAGACAGGAAAAATTATATTTTAGAACTAGGAAGAAAATATTCTTAATAAATTTCAGCCCTGACTGGTGGGGCTCAGTGGACTGAGTGCTGGTCTGTGAACCAAAGGGTCACCAGTTCGATTCCCAGTCAAGACACATGCCTGGGTTGCAGGCCAGGTCCCCAGTAGGGGGCAGGGTGTGAGAGGCAACTACACATGGGTTTCCCTCTCTCCCTCCCTTCCCCTCTCTAAAAATAAATAAATAAAATATTTTTAAAAACTATTAAAATATTAAGAAATAAATTTCAACCTTAGCTCTGCTTTATGAAAATAATTCCTTTTTACAAATTACAAATAAACACTTGTTAGCAAGGTGCCATATATTTGCCTATCCACATTCAGCATTTAGAGTAAGGTAACAAAAAAGTCTAATATTTTTAGGTGGTCTTTGGAAAACACAAGCAAATCTATCTGCAAAGACATAAAGGTAGAGCAAGGATCTATTCAACTGCAACATTAAGATGAATTTATGAAGAAGGTGATGAAAGTGAATGACAGGTAGAGAACAAGTTGTTTTATAGTTTTGATGAAAGTTCTCTTCTCCTTTTTTAGAACTCAGTTAAGTGAGAAATCTAATTGTTAATGAATTAAATAAACTATATCATCTGACTACTTCTGTTTTACTAATTCCTGATGTGTTAGAAATATAAGAAAGCTTAGTGTCAGTTTGTTCTTTATTTCTGTGTCTCTGCTTCTATTTTGCTTGCTTGTTTGTTTTATTGATTAGGTTCCACTTATAGGTGAGATCATGTGATACTTGTCTTTCACTGCCTGCCTTATTTCACTTAGCATAATACTCTCCAGTTCCATCTATGCTGTCACAAAGGGTCGGAGCTCCTTCTTTCTTTCTGCTGTGTAGTATTACGTTGTGTAAATGTATTGGTGGGGGGCAGAATAACAGTGAAAAGGATCAAGTGAAGGAACATGTATAAGGGACCAAGAGCAAAGACAGCAGGTGGGAGAATTGAGTGTAGGATGTGGGGAGTGGGTAGGACAGGGGAGAGTAGTGGAGGAAAATAGGGACAACTGTAACTGAACAACAACGAAAAGTACATTAGTACCTCAAAGGGTTCCTACATGATGAAATCAGAATTGAAAGTTCCATTTGGTATGGAATAAGTTGTATTCTATCTTCTTTGGCTGTCTCAGTGGGATAATTTGAAGCTGTGAATTTTGAAGGGTGTGTACAGACCTAATTCTAATTCAATCCTACAAGTAAGGTTAAAATGATGCTATTGTTTAGGTTGTATGCCACAAACTTAGATGAACCTTTTAGAATGAGTGTTTTTCCTATAATGACAAGAAAACCTGATTAGTACATTCCCATACCTTTATGTTTTCCTATAGGTCTTTATTAATAACTTATCCTTTCTATGAGAGTGCAGTGCAAATGTTCACTAATTAGTTTTTTCCTTTTTATTAACAGCTAAGCAATTTATTGAAAGTAGTGTGTATTGCCTAATACTCAAATACAACCACATGAGAACAGTGTCTTATATAAATTTCCTTATAGATAACCCCTACAGTTTCTTAGTGGGTGACTTTATATACTCGTCCTCTAAAAATTACAGGGAATAGCATCTAGGCATGAATATGTAATTTAATATGAATTTGAGTTTTTATCTTCAGCTTATACCTTTGCCCTACTAGTATGACTTCTGAGGTGAATACAAGAACAAGAGCAAATGACTGATTTTAGTGAAGTGTAACAAGGATTTATGAGTTGGTCATAGAGCTGAGGACTGATCTTACCTACACAATTGGTTTAACTTTACATAGTAAAAAGAAAGCATAGCAAAATAAGTTTCATTAAGTACATTTGATCAATTCCTCTTGTGTTCTGAAAACAAAAAAGAAATATCAGAAAGTTTGAGAAAGGAACAAAAATTAAGACTTCTAAACCTGAACTCTCATAAAAATTTATCTTCAAAAGTACTGAGTATTTGGAAAGCAGTTTTATGAGGAAGGCATGATAGTGAGTGATTATCTAGCAACAAATATTTATTGTTAAATATTGTGAGGTTTTGACTATAAAAATCTTGGGATCAACAACAAGTCCTCAATGGTGACATTTTGTTTCCTTTTTTCTTAATAGGTGAACATTATACCACTGATTGCCAAAGCTGATGCAATTTCTAAAAATGATTTACAGAAATTTAAGTATAAGATAATGAGTGAATTGGTTAATAATGACATCCAGATATATCAGTTCCCAACAAATGATGAAAGTACTGCTCAAATGAACTCCTCAATGAATGTAAGCTTCCACTGAATATTAATTCTGTTTTACATGTGGGAATCAAATATAATTTTATAAGTCACAATATTAGTAATATACTGTCACTTGTATCTGACCAAGAGACTATAAATATGGTTCTCCCCCAAATCCAATGTAGAAAATGTTTTTGATTTTGAAAAGTGTTCCTGAGAATCAATTCTGGTTTTTGACAGCATTTTTGAGATATGTTACATACCTATAGTTCACCCATTAAAATATACAATTCAATAATTTTTAGTCTACTTACAGATGTGTGCATCACCACAATCAATTTTAGAACATTATTATCATCTCAAAAATAAACCTATATTTTCAGCCCCTGTCCCCTACTGCCTGTGAGCCCTCCTGTCCACCAACCCTAAGCACCTACTAAACAAGTTCTTTCTCTGTAGGTTTCTCTGATCTGGACATCTAATATGAATGGAATTGTATGATATTTGGTCTTTTCATATGCTTGTTGGCTATTAGTGTATCTTTGTAGAATATATGTTTGCTCAGATCTTTCTCTCTTTTTTCAATAGTGCTTTAATCTAATTACTGTTGAGTTGTAAGAGTTCTTGATATATTCCAGATACAAGTTCCTTATGAGATAAAAGATTTGCAAACATTTTTTCCCAATCTATTAGTCATTTTTCATTTTTTGGTGTCCATTGAAACACAAAGTTTTAAAATTTTTATGAAGTCTAATTTATCTTTTTTGTTGCTTGTGCTTTTGATGTCATATCTAAGAATATTTTGCCAAATCCATGATAATAAAGATTTACTTATATGTCACCCTGGCCAGGTAATTCAGTTGGTTAGAACATTGTCCTGATACACAAGATTGGGAGCTTGATCCCCAGTCAAAGCACTTAAAGAATCAACTAATGGGTCCATGAATGGATAGAACAACAAATCAATGTTTCTTTCTCAAATTAATAAAAAAAATTTTTACAAATTTACTTACGTTTCTTTTTCTAAGCGTTTTTTAAATTGTGGTAAAATCCATATAATATGAAATTTATCATCTTAGACATTTTAAAGTGTATAGTTGAGTGGCATTATAAAGTCACATTGTTGTGCAGCGATCATTTTCATCTTACAAAACTGAAACTCTGTATCTAGGATTCCTGGTGAACAAGTGTTTTTTTTTTTTCCCCTACACTTGAACACTTTAAATATATTATCCTGTGACTTTCTGGCATTCATGTTTCTGTTGAGAAGTCAGCTGTTCATTTTATTGGGGTTTCCTAGTATTAATGAGATTTTTCTTTTGTTGATGATCTGTATGTTTACAATGATGTCTCTGTTGGTGAATCTGTTTGCATTTATCTTGGTGTTTGTTGTAATTTTGGATGTGCAAGTTATTGTTTTTTAATAAATACTGGAAGTTTTCAGCCAACATTCCTTTGAGTATTTTTTCTTTTCTTTTCTCTTTCCTCTTCTTCTGATATTGCTATTACCTGCATGTTGATGCGCCTAATGGTGCCGACATTTCTCTAAGACTCTGTTCATTTTTTTCTTGTTTCATCCTTTTCTTGCATAATCTCTATCTTTATGTTTATTTTTTCCTCTGCCAGATCAGATAAACTTTGGAGCCCCACTACTAATTTTTTTATTTTCCATCATTGTACTTTTTAAATGCAGAATTACAATTTGCTTCTTTTTAGTAATTTCTATTTCTTTATTAATATTTTGTTACATGCAACATTGTTGTCATACTTTCCTCTACTTGTTTTTATCCTTAAGTATATATACACATGTATTTATTGTAATCATTCAACTTTTTAAACTAAAAACAACTATTGATATTTAATATTCACAACTTTATGCTTTTGGAGATACATATGTATCAGTGCAACCATCACAGCTATGACTCATATAAACTTATTTGACACTTCCAAAAGTGTTCTCTCCTTTTTCTTAATAAATCAAGCTAAGGCTTTGATTTTGAAGATCTTGTCCAAAAACCACCTCTAAGTTTTTATAATTGTTTTTCTACTCTTTATAATTTATCTATGCTATAATCATTTTTATTTCCCTCCTTATGCTAACGTTAGTTTTAGTCTGAGCTCCACCCTTGCCTCCAGTTCCTTGAAGTGTAAAGTTAGCTTGTCCATCTGAGATTTTTCTTCTTTTTTATGTGAGTTCATTGCTATAAACTTCTCTGTTAATACTTTTTTTGTTGTTTCCCACTTTTTCTCTCCTTTATTCCCCTCTGCCCTGCAACCCCTCCCACCAGCATTCCGCACCACCCACCTTAGTTCGTATCCATGGGTTGTACATAGTTCTTTGGCTTCTCCATTTCCTATACTATTCTTAACCTCCCCCTGTCGTTTTGTACCTACCATTTATGCTTCTTATTCCTGGTACGTTTTCCCCTATTCTCCCCCTACCCCTCCTACTAATAGCCCTCCATGTGATCTCCATTTCTGTGACTCTGTTCCTGTTCTAGTTGTTTGCTTAATTTTTGTTTTTTAGGTTCAATTGTTGACAGTTGTGAGTTTGTTGTCATTTTATTGTTCATATTTTCTGTCACCGTTTTCTTAGTTAAGTCAGTCCCTTTAACATTTCATATAATAAGGGCTTGATGATGATGAACTCCTTTAACTTCATCTTATCTGGGAAGCACTTTATCTGCCCTTCCATTCTAAATGATAGCTTTGGTGGATAGAGTAATCTTGAGTGTAGGTCCTTGCCTTTTGTCACTTTGAATATTTCTTTCCAGTCCCTTCTTGCTTGCAACATTTCTTTTGAGAAATCAGCTGATAGTCTTATGGGAACTCCTTTGTACATAACTGTCTCTTTTTCTCTCACTGCTTTTAAGATTCTCTCTTTATCTTTAATCTTGGGTAATGAAATTATTATGTGCCTTTGTGTGTGCTTCCTTGGGTTCAACTTCTTTGGGACTCTCTCTCTCTTTTTTTTTTTTTTGGCTAGATTGGGTATGTCTATTTCTTTTGTCAGATTGGGTATGTTCTCCTTCATTATTTTTTTCAAATAAGTTTTCAATTCCTTGCTCTTCCTCTTCTCGTTCTGGCACCCATATCATTTGGATGTTGAAATGTTTGAAGTTGTCCTGGAGGTTCCTAAACCTCTCCTCATTTTTTTTGAATTCTTGTTTCTTCATTCTTTTTTTCTCGGATGTTTATTTCTTCCTTTTGTTCCAAATAGTTGATTTGAGTCCTGGTTTCCTTCCCTTCACTGTTGGTTCCTTCTACATTTTCCTTTATTTCACTTTGTACAGCCTTCACCTTTTCCTCTATTTTGTGACCTACGCAACCATTTCTGTGAGCATCCTGATTACCAATGTTTTGAACTTTGCAGCTTGTAGGTTGGCTATCTCATCATTGCTTCGTTGTATTTTTTCTAGGGCCTTGATCTGTTCTTTCATTTTGGCCATATTTTTTTTTTTTGTCTCAGCATACCTGTTACAAAGTAAGGGGCAGAGCCCCTTAGGTATTCAGTAGGGCAGTGCACATTGCTGCATTGCCATAGTGGTGCTCTATGTGGTGGAGGGATCAAAGGGAACAATGGCACTTGCTCAGCTCTCTGTCAGCTTTCAGTCACTTCCTCCACTACCCACAGTGAATTGGGCCCTACTGATGCTAAATCCAAGGTAGGTGGGTTTGTGTATGTGTGGGTCTCTCCAATGAACTCTCCTGTGAGGCTGGGAGTTTTTCTCACCACCGCAACCCCTGCAGGTTTTTTCAGTCAGAGGTTTTGAGGCTTTATTTCCCCGCACTGGAACCCTAAATAGCTCAGTTTGTCTCACTCCTCAGGTGTTCCTCTCGGTTTATCCATACAGAAATGTTGGACCACCCAGTCCACCAGCCATCACCTTGCTGGAGTCCTTTCCACCTCATCTGTCCATCTCTACCCCTCCTACCAGTCTGGATGAATGTTTTTCCTTTAACTCCCTGGTTGTTGGACTTCCATACAGTACAATTTCTGGAAGTTCTGTTTTTTGTTTTAATGTCTTGTTTTCCTTCTTTTGGTTGTGAGAAGAGGCAAAGTGTATCTACCTATACCTCCATCTTGGCTGGAAGTCACAAAATCTCATTTTCTTATTAATAGTTCATTTTTATTGTATTTTCCCATTTTCATTTATCCCCCATACTGTCTTCCACCTCCACACACTGCCCACCCTGATCTCATTTTTCAATCTCTTTTTTAATGATTAAGAATGAAAAAATAGAATTACTTCACCTATAAACAATTTTAACAGCTTTTAAAGATATAATTGATATGCAAAACACTGTACATATTTAATATATACAGTTTGGTGAGTGGATATATACAAATGCCTGTAACCCATCACCACAATATTGGTTTAAACAAAGGCAAAACTTCCCAAAGACTCCTTGTGTCCCCACCTGTTTTGTGGTAAGAAGACTTAACATGAATTTACCCTCTCAACCAATTTGGAATTGTACAGTGTTGTGATACTTCCCCTAACTCTCATCATCAAGTAATTAATATGACCCTTTAATTGTATTTAGAATTCCTATATGTACATCTATGAATATGTGTATATATATATATATGAAGCATTATTTATTAATATACTTTATATTGTATGTACATTAATTATTATAGTTATAGTTAGGCTTAATACTTTTGTATTTTAACTTTGTACTAGAGTTAAATGTGATTTGTACATTATTTTTTCATATTTGTGTTTCAGGATAAAGATAATGTGAGAAAAAATGATATGTCTACTAAAAATCTTTTCTCTTTGTAAATATTTCCCACAGCATAATGCCTTGGTTCAGATTCTACTCAGTAGATAGTTTTCAGGACTTGACACTAATGCTTGCAGAAATCAATTTGCACATATTTACTGCCAAGTCATAAAATCTGAGGCAGGGTATATCCCTTGTTTGAATAAGCTTAATTTATTATTCCTGTCTGTGTTATTTCCATAACAACATATGTCATGTTGGTATAAGGGAACATGATTAAAATTGTTCTTCCTTTATAGAAACACTTACCTTTTGCTGTAGTGGGGTGTATAGATGAGGTGAAAGTTGGAAAAAGGATGGTCAGAGGCCGACAGTACCCTTGGGGAGTTTTACAAGGTAAATATTATGATAGCAAGTAGGCTTGCTGTGAACTGGTTATCTGTGTGTATGTGTATATATATGTCTGTCTGTATACATATGTTGTATATACAGTATATATAGTATATGTACATTATCATAGTCTCAAAATGTCATTTTAATTTGAGCCAAAATTGGTACCTGTTGCTAAAGAGTAAATTAACAGTTACTGATAAAGAGCACAAATTTTGTTTCATTTAGGCTCATGCTTACTTTGATTATGATTTTTTTCTCATAGGAGTTTGTTGGATGGTGCTTTAGGCAAAAATCCACAGAGGCTGGACAGAACCTCCTCATTTATCCCAGTTTTCCAGCTGCATATTTACTCCTTATGCTGGAAAGTGCTTTGAACAAAAGAACTTTGGTCATAATGAAACCTAAATATTGGTCTTTAAAACATATTACATGAATTAAACACTAACCAATTTATAACACATTTAAAAGTGGTCACAAGAAAAAAGAATGGTAAACTATTTTAAAAGTAAAGAAACATAATTTACCTTTGGATTATACCTAGACATTCATATTAGTTATCTAATATCATGATGAGTTAGAATATTATAATAGCCAGTTATTTATTGTCTAGTTAATATGCTTGTAATACTAGTTATTGGGGATTGGGTTATCTATACCTGTAATAGTTTCTGAATGTTGTTTTTAAATTGACATATTAGAAATTTTTAAATTTATGAAACATAGTTAAAAAGAACATATTTTAATGAATATTAAATTTGGGTACAATATCAAACACAGTACACAGTATGTTGAGCTCAGTTTCTGGATGTGACAAACAGAGGAGAGAGCCATATGGTGTATTGATTTATTTTGAATATTAACTAATTCAGTCCCATAAGTGTCTTGTATAAATAGAATATGATAACTTATGCATATACAGTTATAATAATCTTTATGTTAGCAAAATTTAATTTAATGAAATTATTTAGTGAAATTATATTAATTCTTTGTTAGCACTTTATAAAATAATTTGAGGGTAGTTTGTAAAATACTAATATAATTATCAATGAAAACTTACACCATATATTAATAGCATATGTTATTTAACTGTTTCATATTTATTCTTTGGCTTATAAATTTAAAGCAAATTTTCTGGTTTATAAATAAAGCCTATCTATAATTGGAATGTACCATATAATCATAGTTAGATGGTTAAAATAATTGTAGTTATTAACCAGAATGATCTCTTAGCTGTTAATTTAAATGTTTTTCATGCATACATTTATTCAATAAAACTTACTGAGTGCCATGGATTGATCATGTGTTGTGGCTTTATTATTTCTCTGTCTAGTGGACAATGAAAATCACTGTGACTTCGTTAAGCTCCGGGATATGCTCCTTTGTACAAATACAGAAGACCTGAAAGAACAAACCCATACCCAGCACTATGAACGTTATAGGTGCTTCAAACTGCAAAAAATCGGCTTTACTGATGTGGGTCCAGACAACCAGCCAGTTAGGTGAGTAGAGATCTTGCTAATGGGTGATTTACAAAGCCCCTATGGTTATGAGATACAACTAGTTGGGAACGAGAATAACTGTATGTCTCATATCCTGCTTTATTCTGAACACTGTTTTCAAATTGTCTTCAGACTTAGAGAACATTTGTAAGAGTAACATAATGCAAGGGCTTGTTTATATGCTAAAATATGTATATCCAATATGTGTATATATTAAAGTGTATACCCAAAAGAGAAGCTCAGGAAGTAAATTGACAAATATTAGCAAAGACTGACAAAGGTTGGCAAAGGATTTTGAGAAGGATGAAAAGAATATTGAGGGCTGGATGGAGGAAAGAGGAAAAGCAGCAGTGTAATATGGAAGTCAAGTGAAAATAGTTGGATGGCACATGTGTTTAGCTATATTGAAGAGGAATAGGATTTGTACTGCACACGAATGACAGTTGTATTAGTGTTGGTACTTTGAGGACAACCAAAATTGAACTGGTTATCTTAAATGAATCAGAGTTTGAAAGATACCTGGTTTTATTTTAATTATTTTGAGAACCTCATAAATCAGAGCTTCCTCCAAATTTTATTGTGAAAAGATGTTGAATAAGTGTGATATAATAAAAAGTGGTGGGAGCAATAAATCACTGACATAACTGTTTTCAAAATTCTAGTACTCTTTATGTATACTCTCTATATACTCTTATATTCAATATTGTACCTATCTCATTTTTACATCTCATGATGTGGAAATTTCCATTTCTGTGCATGGAGAATATTAGTACATGTTCTTACATGGGACTGAATATATAATATGTATATTACATGTTTACTTATATTTTCATTTAATTATGAAATAATAAAAACTCCTTTTTAGTTTTCAAGAGATCTATGAAGCTAAAAGACAGGAGTTTTATGATCAATGCCAAAGGGAAGAAGAGGAATTGAAAAAGAAGTTTATGCAGAGAGTAAAGGAGAGAGAAATAGCATTTAAAGAAGCTGAAAAAGAAGCAAGTATTTCTAATTTGATATAATTTATATTAATTTTTAGGTATCCTAGTAATTTGGGATATTTAGTCTCAATAAATTATTTGATGTTTTTGAAGAATACTTACTATTTTTCAAAAAGTAGCTATTAACCATATAGATTTTGAATGCAGCCTTTAAAAATTATAGGTTATTTTTCAGATCATTTGGATAATTTTCTTTTTTTAAGTAATTTTATTGATTATGCTATTATAGTTGTTCAATTTTTCTCCTCTTTATCCCCCTCCACCACATGCACCCACCCTCCCTCCAGCATTCCCCTGCCTTAGTTCATGTCCATTGGTTGTACATAAAAGTTCTTTGGCTTCTCCATTTCCTATACTATTCTTAACTTCCCTCTGTCTATTTTGTGCCTACAAATTATGCTTCTTATTCCCTGTACCTTTTTACTCCACTCTCCCCCTCCCCCTCCCCACTGACAACCCTCCGTGTGATCTCCGTTTCTGTAATTCTGTTCCTACTCTAGTTGTTTGCTTAGTTTGTTTTTGTTTTTTAGGTTTAGTTGTTGATAGTTGTGAGTTGTCATTTTACTGTTTGTATTTTTTATCTTCTTTTTCTTAGATAAGTCCCTTTAACATTTCATATAATAAGGGCTTGGTGATGATAAACTCCTTTAACTTGGCCTTATCTGGGAAGCACTTTATCTGCTCTTCCATTCTAAATGAAAGCTTTGCTGGATAGAGTAATGTTGGATGTAGGTCCTTGCCTTTTATGACTTGGAATACTTCTTTCCAGCCCCTTCTTGCCTGTAAGATTTCTTTCAAGACATCAGCCAATAGTTTTATGGGAACTCCTTTGTAGGTAACTGTCTCCTTTTCTCTTCCTGCTTCTAAGATTCTCTCCTTATCTTTAATCTTGGGTAACTTAATGATGATGTGTTTTGGTGTGCTTCTTCTTGGATCCAATTTCTTTGGGACTCTCTGAGCTCCCTGAACTTCCTGGAAGTCTATTTCCTTTGCCAGATTGGGTATGTTCTCCTTCATTATTTTTTCAAATAAATTTTCAATTTCTTGCTCTTCCTCTTCTCTTTCTGGCACCCCTATGATTTGGATGTTGGAACATTAAGGTTGTCCTAGAGTTTTCCCATTTTTTTGAATTCTTGCTTCTTCATTCTGTTCCATTTGGGTATTTATTTCTTCCTTTTGTTCTAAATCATTGATTTGAATCCTGGTTTCCTTCCCTTCACTGTTGGTTCCCTGTATATTTTCCTTTATTTCACTTTATGTAGCCTTCATTTCTTCCTTTATTTTACAACCATATGCAATTTTTTCTTTGAGCATCCTGATTACCACTGTTTTGAACTTTGCATCTGATAGATTGTCTATTTCCTCATCACTTAGTTCCTTTTCTGGAGTTTTGATCAGTTCTTTCATTTGGGCCTTATTTCTTTGCCTCAGCACATCAGCCTGGATAAATATTTTTTCTTTAACTCCTCAGTTTCTGGACTTCCATTTTGACTTACAGTTTGGATTTTCTGGCGATTGACTTCCATCTGGACTTACAGTTTGATATTCTGGCAATTCTGGTTGTTTTTGTTTTAAAACTGGTTGTTATCCTTCTTTTGGTTGTGTGAGGAAGCAAAGTGTATCTATCTACGCCTCCATTTTGGCCCTCAGTTGAGAATTTTCTTTTTAATAAGCCCTAAAATAAATATGTAAACCTACTTATCTCTTTTAAAAATATTTTATATATTTATTCTTGGGAAGTGAGGAAGGGAGAGAGAAAGAGGAAAGAAACATCTATGTGAGAAAAAAGCATCGATCAGTTGCCTCTAGCACAAGCCCTGACTGGGGACTGAACCAGCAACCTTGGCATGTGCCCTGACCAGGAATCAAACCTGTGACTTTTTGCTCTGTGGGCTGACACCCAACCAACTGAGCTGCACCAGTCAGGGCAAAACCTATTTATCTTTATTTTATTTATAATTTAAATTTTCATGCATAAATTTTAATTTATAACAAATTTAAGCTATTGATTTCTGTGAAGTCATGTACTTTCTAATATTACTACTGCATTAGAAAATTTCCTACATTTTTAAAAGTAAGCAGGTAAATATTGATTAATGCAAGCCTTGATTGATTGAAGAACTTTTAGCTGGTGAACTTTATAGGTTACTTTTTCATTTCATTCCATTCTGTTTCCAAGGAAATGGAAAAAGAGTTTACTAATATATTTTTTATTATTTGCCACGGATAGATTTTGACAAAGGAAACATAAATATTTTTCTCTTAAGTGAGTGTGGTTTCAGCTTAAGAGTATTTGGTTTTATTAGGTATATTAGAATATGAACTTCTTTTTTAGTAGAGACAAAGCAGTGATTATGTGCTGTATACCAGATGTCTCAGTCAAGGGCAAGTGAACTGTAATAGAAATTCCATTAGCTTAGGTAGAAAGGGATTCTTATTTTTGCATGTGGATGTTCTCTTGTTCCAGTGCCACTTGTTGAAGAGACTATTTTTCCTCCAGTGATTGCTTTTGCTTCTTGTCGAAGACCAGTTGGCTATGTATATATATATCTGTTTCTAAGCTATTGTGTTGCATTGACCTATTTTTTTATTCTTTCACCAATACTACATTTTTTGATTATTGTAGCTTTTGTCAGATTACTATAGCCAGTCTTGAAGTTGAGTAGTATCAGTCCTCCACCTCTGTTCTTCTTCAATATTGTGTTAGCTATTCTGGCCCTTTTGTTTTACCATATAAACTTTAGAATCAGTTTATCAATATCCACAAAATAACTTGCTGGGATTTAGATGGGGATTGCTTTGAATCTTTAGTTATGTGGGAAGAATTGACATCTTGACAGTATGTAGTCTTTCTGTTCTTGAACGTGGAATATCTCTCCATTTATTTTGTTCTCTGATTTTTAAAATCAGAGTTTTGTAGTTTTCCTCCTATGGGTCTTGTGTATATTTTGACAGATTTATACTGAAGTATTTTGTTTTGGGGAGCTGCTCATGAAGGTGGTATTGTGTTTTAATGTCAAATTCTCCTTGTTCAATGCTGATATGTAGGAAAGCAGTTAACCTTTGAGGATTGACCTTGTGTCCTGCAACCTTGCTGTGATCTCATTAGTCCCAGGAGGGTTTTTCTGGTCAACTCTTTTGGATTTTCTACATTGATGATCATGTTACCTGCGAAAGTGACAATTTTATGTCCTCCTTCCCAATCTGTATATATTTTATCTCCTTCTGTTGTCTTACTGCATTAGCAAGGACTTCCAGTATAGTGTTGAAAGGGAGTGATGAGAGGGGATAGCCTTGTTTTGTATCTGTTTTGTGGGAAGACTTCAGGCTTTTCACCAGGGTAGTTAATATTTGAAATGTTTATATACTAGGATGAAGTTTAGCTTTCTCTGATTTCTACTCTCACCCTCCCATCTTTAAGAGAAGCAATTTCTCAGTGACTTTTGCCATTACTTACAGATATCACACTCTCACATCCCCAGCATTCCCAGTCATTCTTTGCCATGGCATTTAGATGCTCATTTACTTGTCACAGCTGAAGATGTAATTCCAAGAGACATCTGATTCCAGGGTAGGAAAATATAATCTTTATTTAGAACTATGGATCTTAACCTTAGTTGCATACTAAAATCACCTGGGGAATTTTTTAAACCACTGATGCCTAGGCTCCGCTCCACATAGTCTGATTGTAATTGATCTGTGTGCAGCCCGAACACTGAGAGATTATTAAGATCAGTGAACAATTCTAATGGACAAATAGGGTTGAAAACCACTGGTGTCAGCTCTGTGTTTGTGTTCTTCACAGCCACGTACACCAAATAATTAATATTGTGGCAGTAGAGTCCCTTGGCTTATCTGTTTTTCAAAAAGTTAAACTGCAAATAAACTTGTCTTTTATAGTTTTATGCCTTACAAGCCATAGCTTTAAAATGCACACCTCCTCTGATGCACACAAACAATCCTTATGTTGTTGAATAAAGTTGTGTCAAAGACCTTGGCCCATCTCTAATAGAATCCAAGGTGATATCTTTTTAAGACGGCTAATTTCATTTATTTTAAATCCCACAGATTAAATGAGACCTCACAAGTAAATAAAAAGTAATTGAATGAGGTCCTTGAAGACTTTCTTTTCTTTCTATAAGTATGCTGATTTCACTTAACAAGAAAATTATGACTTTCTTTCAAAAGGTCTTTATCAATTAAAGTCTCAACAATTGTTTCATAATGCATGCTATATTTTAATGTATATATTTTTAGTGAGCATTAATTTATCCAATTTTATTTGAACAGATTTGTGGGTAACTGTAGAGTGAGAAAATACCTCATTTGGAAAAACAAGGTATTTTAAAAATTGAGTGTTGTTTATAGCTGTAGGTTTTTTTACATTTGGTTCAATGGGGACACTTTTAAAATTTAATTGATGAAAAATTGCATACCTGAATGTTTATTTTAAACATAAGTGTTTGAGTTAGTTATTCAGATCAAGCTCTACTTTGATGATTAAAGTATGTTTGATAACCAGAAAAAAGGCGATCGTGTTCCTGGGGATATGCTGCAAGCTGTGCTTTGAGTCATAGCTGCATCTTTGTTTCACAGCTACAGGACAAGTTTGAGCATCTTAAAAGAATCCAGCATGAGGAGACAATAAAACTTGAGGAGGAGAAAAGACAATTGGAAGAAGAAGTAATGAATTTTTATAAGATGAAGGCTGGCTCTGAAACGCTGCAGACTCAGGGTTACACCAATATAAAAAAGGACAAAGATCGTAAGAAATAGCTCTCTCTTAACCATTCTCTGTTGTAGAGCCCTGTCGCCCTTTACCTTATCTTCCTGAGATTGTTTTCATACCTCTGATGAAAGTTCTACTAATTTTTAAAATTTGCTTATTGTGCATTTTCTCCAGCTCTCAAGAGCAGGTGCCTTGTTAGCTGCTGTATCATCAGCATCTAGTTAGAACAAAGGTTACCACAGAGTTGGCACTCAGTAATGTTCAATATGCTAAATGAAATCGAATCAAAGAAATATATGGCACAGTGTAAAAACTGTTGATTAGCATAAAAATTATTTTAGCATAGCATTGCCTGTGGCTCACATATACAAGTACAGTTACTTTGTTTTTAATCTAAGTAGAAGATTTGTAGGGGGGTCATAGGCATAAAATATTTTTATAAAAAGATGCTTCTTAGAGATCATTCTCCTTATCAAAATCTACTGATAATTATTTCTTGATAGTTTTTATTATAATAAAAGATTAAGTTTTTGATTAGAACTATACTTTGATATAGTTCTTATAAATAGTTCTTTATAAGGATAGTCAGTCCTTATAAAACTACAATATGCAGAAGTTAGAGCCAGAGAACAATGAGAAACCATAACTAACATTTTGATGACATTGTGCCTTATAGATTTTGGAAATGTGTTAAAACACAAGTTAGCAAAGTATCAGAAAATAAGGTAATTTTTTTGTAATTTTAAAAATTTCCTTCCAGCATCAAAACCATACCAGTTCTATAATACATATAGTGTAGTGTTGTGAACACTTGTAAATAACATGTTACTAAAAACACACTTGCAGGCTGCATTGAGCACAGTGTTGTTTCAATGACTGGAAGTGATATTATGTTCACATATAATAAAGATATTTCTAAGTACACTTCTCTATGCTGCATTCATACTGTATAGTTTTATATCCATGGATGGAAGTGATAGTCATTATGAATATTCATTTAGTGAGGTGTTTAAGAAGAATTATCATAAAGTTGTTACTAAGAATGCCACTTGCTATCTGCTTTCAGTTGATTGTTAATAGCACTGAATGAAAGTGATCTTTATTTTGTAAAGCATGTAGTAAAGTGTTTAAAAACATTTGTAATGAAGATACATGTGTTTCTATAAGCACTACTTGCAGGTTGTGTTCAAACCAGTTATATTACTGAATAAAAGTAATTCCTATTTTTTTAATGAACATAATGAAGTGTTTAAGAATGATTGTAGCAAAGCTGTTTCTAAAAACTTTAGTGCAAAATACATTCAGAACAGTTTTAAACAAGTGAATGGGAATGGGCCCTATTATGTAATGTATGAAGTAATTAAGCACGTTTGTAGTAATGATGTTTGTGAGACTGCCACTTGCAAGCTGCATTGAGAATTGTGCTATATCAGTGACTGGAAGTCACTGCAATAATAAGTGTAGTGATGTAATTCAGTCCACATTGTATGAATATGTTTCTTGAGACTATTATTGGGAAGCTGATTTCAGACCAGTGTTATGAAAGTGAATAGAAGTGATCCCAGTCTCTAATGTATATAGGAAATTTGATAACATTTGTAATAAAAATGTTTCTTAAAATGTTACTTGCATGCTGCATTCACATAGGGTTCTATCAATAAAAGGAATTGATCCTCATTCTGGTAGTAACTTGTTTAAGAACGCTTGTAGTAAAGATGTTCTAATTTTGGTATTTGCATACTGCATTCAAACCAGCTTTATATCAATGAATGTAAGTAATCTCCTTTCTATACTGTAGGTAGGGTAGTGATTCAGAATATTTGTAATAAGCATATTTCTACAAGCACAGCTTGTAGGCTCTGCTGTTCCCATATTTTATCAGTGAAGGGAAGTAATCCTCATACTCGCCTATATGTAATGAAATGTTCACACACTTGTAATGAAGATGTTTATAGTGAATTGCTACTTGCAAACTGCATTCAGACCCTTGTGGTGTCAGTCAATGTAGGTGACTCCCTCATTCTATATGCAAGTATTGAAGTATTTAAGTGTACTTTAGTAAAATGGTTCTACAAATGCCACTCACCAGCTAGGATTAGATCACCGTGCTATGATGCATTTTATATCAGTAATAGAAACACACTCTAGCCCTGGCTGCTGTGGCTCAGTGGACTGAGCACTGGCCTGCAAACCAAAGTATTGCTGATTCGATTCGAGTCAGGGTACATGCCTGGGTTGTGGGCCAGGTCCCCAGTATGGGGCATGTGAGGGGCAACCACACATTGATGTTTCTCTCCTTCTCTTTCTCCCTTCCCTTCTCTCTAAAAATAAATGAATAAAATATTTTTTTAAAAAGAAACACACTCTAATGAATGTGGTGATGATAAAGAATACTTCTAATGAAGATGTTTCTAAGAAAGCCCATTGTAAGCTGCATTCAAACCAGTTCATCAGTGTATGGATGTGATCCCCATTGAGTAATGAAGATAGTGGTGATGTTATGACAAATAATCATATTAGACACACTTGTAAAATGCTGCTTTTAAGCTTCATTCAAACCAGTGTTTGAGAATATGGGAGAATAAAAATGATCCCCTTCCTGTAAGGCATATAGTAAAATGCTTATGAACAGTTGTACTAATGATGTTTCTAATAATACAACTTGCATGCTGCATTTTGATTACTGTTATTTCAGTAAATGAAAGCAACACACATTCTGAAATTCATAGTGTTTAAGAACACTTGTTTTAAATATGTTTCTAAGAATGCTACATACAAACAGTTTGAGGACAGTGTTACCATCAAGAATGCCAGGGACACTAATTTTGTAATGAATACAGTGAAGTAATTATGATCTCTTCAAATACATATATATCTAAGAACAGTGAAAATATAAATTTTAAGTTTTATATGTTAAAATTTAGACCAGTTGTATCAGTAAATGTTGTATCAAGAAAGTTTCTTAAATATATTTTATTGATTATGCTATTATAGTTGTCCCATTTTTGTCTCCCCTTTATTGCCCTCCACCCTGAACTCCCCTCCCTCCAGCATTCCCCCACTTTAGTTCATGTCCACGGATTGTACATATAATTTCTTTGAATTCTCCATTTCCCATACTATTCTTAACCTCTCCCTATTTCATACCTATAATTTATGCTTCTTATTCCCTGCACCTTTTTCCCCCATTCCTCCCTCCCCCACTGATAACCCTCCATGGGACCTCTATTTCTGTGAATCTGTTCCTGCTTTATTTGTTTGCTTAGTTTGTTTTTGTTGTAGTTTTTTAGATTTGGTTGTTGATAGTTGTGATTTTGTTGTCATTTTACTGTTTGTATTTTTTATCTGCTTTTTCTTAGATAAGTCCTTTTAATGTTTCATATAATAAGGGCTTGATGATAATGAACTTCTTTGACTTGACCTTATTTGGGAAGCACTTTATCTACCCTTCCATTCTAAATGATAGCTTTGCTGGATAGAGTAATCTTGGATGTAGGTCCTTTGCTTTCATGACTTTGAATACTTTTTTCTAGCCCCTTCTTGCCTCCAAGGTTTCTTTTGAGAAATCAGCTGATAGTCTTATGGGAACTCATTTGTAGGTAATTGTCTCCTTTTCTCTTGCTGGTTTTAAGATTCTCTCCTTATCTTTAATCTTGGGTAACTTAATTATGATGTGCCTTGGTGTGCTTCTTCTTGGATCCAACTTCTTTGGGACTCTCTGAGCTTCCTGGACTTCCTGGAATTCTATATCCTTTGCTAGATTAGGGAAGGTCTCCATTATTTGTTCAAATAAGTGTTTTTTTGGAGGATAACAACCAATCTAAAATCAATAAACAACCAGAAGTGCCAGAAAATCATACTGCATGGAACTCTGACAACCAAGGAACTGAAACAATCAACCAGAACAACCAGACTGGTAAGGCAGTGGATGGAGAGACCCAGACCCTGGTGAATACCTAAGGCCCCACCCACTTACAACTTAACAGGTGCTCTGAAAAAAAGAAATAAGGCCCAAATGAAAGAACTGAGCAAAACTTCAGAAAGAGATGAGGAGATAGCCAACCTATCTGATGGAGAATTTAAAGCCCTGGTAATCAAAATGCTCACAGATCTGAATGAGCTTGGTCAAAAAATGAAAGAACAAATGAAAGATGCCCAAAATGAAATTAAGCAAACTATTCAGGGAACCAACAGTGACAGGAAGGAAACCAGGACTTAAATCAACAATTTGGAACAAAAGGAAGAAATAAACATCCAACCGGAACAGAATGAAGAAACAAGAATTCAAAAAAATGAAGAGAGACTTAGGAACCTTTGGAACAACTTGAAACATTCCAATATCTGAATTATAGGAGTGCCAGAAGAAGAACAACAGCAAGAAATTGAAAACTTAATTGAGCAAATAATGAAGGAGAACTCCCCCAATCTGACAAAAGAAATAGACTTCCAGGAAGCCCAGAGAGTCCCAAAGAAGCTGGACCCAAGGAAGCCCACACCAAAGCATATCATAATTACATTATTGAAGATGAAAGGTAAGTAGAGAATCTTAAAAGCAGCAAGAGAAAAGGAGACAATTACCTACAAATGAGTTCCCATAAGACTATCAGCTGATTTATCAAAAGAAGCCTTGCAGGCAAGAAGGGGCTGGAAAAAAGTATTCAAAGTCATGAAAGCAAAGGACCTACATCCAAGATTACTCTATCCAGCAAAGCTATCATTTAGAATGGAAGGGTAGATAAAGTGCTTCCCAAATAAGGTCAAGTTAAAGGAGTTCATCATCACTAAGCCCTTATTACAGGAAATGTTACAAGGACTTATCTAAGAAAAAGCAGATAAAAAATACAAACAGTAAAATGACAACAAACTCACAGCTACCAACAAATGAACCTTAAAAAAAAAGAACAATGAAAAAAAACTAAGCAAACAAATAGAACAGGAACAGAATCAGAGAAATGGACATCACATGGAGGGTTTTCAGTGGGGAGGGGGAAGGGAGGAATGGGGGGAAAAGGTACAGGGAAGAAGAAGCATAACTGGTAGGCATAAAATAGATGGTGAGATGTCAAAAATGGTATAGGAAACAGAGAACTCAAAGAACTTATATGTACAACTCATGGACGTGAACTAAGGGGAAGAATGCTAGAGGGTTGAGGGGTGCAGCGTAGAAGGGGGATAAAGGGGGTACAATTGGGAAAACTGTAATAGCATAATCAATAAAGTATACTTAAAAAAGAAAGTAAGAACAATCTGACAGTAACCAGAGGGGAGGTGGGAGGGGGTAATGGGAGGAAGGGTTTTCAGGAACAACTATAAAGGACACATGGATAAAACCAAGGGAGGAGTGGAAGCAAGGGAGGGAGGTTGGGATGGCTGGGATTGGGGGAATGGGGGAGTAAATGCAGACAACTGTAATTGAACAACAATAAAATAATCTTAAAAAGAAAAGAAAGCAATGTCTTGCTTCCATCGATGTAATTGTTCCCTTTCATTGATGTGGTTGTTTCCCTTCTCTCTCTCATAAATACCCTTTGCCTTTGCTTCCTACATGGCTTGCTGCCTGAATCTGAGCTCCCCAAATAGCTTCTTTTTAGATCTCAAATAAAGCTTGCTGCCTCTCACTTTGAGCTTTTATTTTTAGGTTAACATATTTGGTGTCAAAATTGGGACCTAAAGAGGCCTCACCTTCACGGGCTGGTATCCCCAGGAACTGGGTATGGTACCTACATAGGGTCTTTTGCTCTCACTGCTTCCATGGTCCATTGCTTTCCCAACTGTGAAGTCCCCTGGGTTCAGATCTCCCTTCTTTTGGTTGAGGTCAAGTGTATTTGAGATCAGGAGGGGTTTTCCTTCAAGGGATGCAATTGTCCCTGGGACAATTGTCCCAGTACTGGCATGCAGTGGGATGCTGTGGGAGTTTGCTACTGGATGAGAGGTTTTTCCCTCAGATCTTCCTCACCTATGGAAGGTTTCCTGGAAGGTAAGCAACATGGAGCTTGCTGCCACGTGAGCACCTTTTTTCCTCTTGGGACTTCCCGTGCTCATGAAGGGTGCACTGTTAGGTGAGCCGCTCTCAAGGATTTTTCCCTAGTGGGTGAGTACTTGCATAATTGTGCAACATTGTGTTTCCTTTTCTTGTCTCTGCTATGTTGTTTGTCATAAGAAAGAGATTTCATAGTGGAGAATACCAACATAAATCCTGTCTTCTGGGCCAGGTCTCTCCCTCCCCTTCCCCCTCCCCCTCTCCAAAAGGAAAGGATTCCAAACCTCTCAGGGAAAATGGAATGTGTTCTTTGATCAATATGCAGAAGTTTCTAAAAAACACAGTGACTTCTCTAGAAGCATCCTAAACACACACACACACACACACACACAAACTTTGACCATCTGAGTGGGTGCTTTAAAATTTCTTACTGTTTGTCTGCCAGAACCTGACAAGATATTTCAAAGAGTTAAATGTTTATATGATCAGAAATTTAGCAGAATTAAAGGTCTAATAGACTTTTTAAAGCCCCCTCAGCATTTCCTGAGTTTCTCCAGCAACTAATTAGAAATATAAACACAGCCCACAACTGCTTGAGACTAAGCAAACCAAAGAAAAACAATGAGAAAGAAAAGCCTTTTAAAAACACAAGTGGCTGAAGTTTCCCTTGCTTAGGTAGCACCCCTAG